GGGCATGGCCAACTCTACGTCACTTGTGTGGGTGGTACCTGTATGGGACAGGCAGGGTTGGAGAGGGAATCCAGGGGTTTTGGGGGGGGGGAAAGGAAAAACAGATCCAACCTCTATTTCTCTCTCTCTGTGCATGTGTGAGAGAGAGAGACTGCATCAAACTATACTGGGAAAGCTGGATGTGAGACGAAGAGAAGCTGGGTAAACTGGACCCAGATGCTTCCCGGGTCCCCTCATCTCAGAAGCAGCAACCTTGCATTCTTCCCTCTCTGCTAGCCCCCTTCTTCACACGGGATCACCCAGCAGCAGAGACGGAAAGGGAGAAGGGAGCAGCGGCGGCCGCTAGCATTGAGGGAGAGTGCCACTCAGAAACAGGAGCACACAGAAATGCCCCCCCCTTCTCCCTGTCTCCATTGCTGCATGATCCCATACGAAGAAGGGGGCTAGGACACATCTGGGTCTGGCTCACCTGGCTTCTCTTCCTCTTGCAGCCAGCTTTTCTGGGCTGTTTTTTGGGCTGATTTTAGCTGGAAAAATGACCCAGAAAACAGCCCGAAAAATGGCCTGTTTTTTGGGCTGATTTTGGGCAGAAAAATGGCCTGAAAAACAGCCTGAAAATGGTCTGAAAAATAGGATGTTTTTCGGGTCGTTTTTGGGCTGTTTTCCAGGCTATTTCCAGGCCGTTTTTTGGGTTGATTTTGGCCAGAAAAACTGCCTGAAAATGGCCGCAAAACAGCCCAAAAAACAGGTGGGGGCAGGGTCAGCCGGTGGTCTGATTGGTTCTCCAAACCGTGCAGAATCAGAACAACCAGATTGGGCAAACCAATTTGAACCGGCAGCAGCCCACCTCTGATCTGTAGGGCAGTAGCTTGAAGATGGCATAATGAGTTATTGTAATAATTTCAGGTGTATATACTTTCATGATGTATATATTGAAGAACTGGAATTGAAATAAGATAGATGTCAGGTTCCGATGTTATCTCATTCTCAAACACGAAGTCTTTGATGAAATCTCTTATTTATTGAAGAATAACGATCTAGTCCTGAACTCATTTGCAGCCGAAACTAATCCTCTGATCCCAAACCCCTCCTTTTCCATTCCTCAAATCTCAGTGTCTCATTGGCCATCTTCCAAGTCCATCTTTCATCTCAGTTACTTCAAGTCACAGGAATTTCCCCCCTCCTCTCATCACCTGGGTGACGTTATCTGCCGGGGGAAAGAACTGGGTGAAATGTCAAGCTACTACTTCTAACAGGCTCTTTCCCACTCATTCATGTCAGCGCTGGGGAAATCATAGTTTGGAGCGCTGACATCAGATTGCATGAAATAGTTCTGAAAGCTAATATCAGAATATCCAGAAAATGTTTTATTTGACTCTACCTTTTTGGATATATTACATAGTTTTGTTTTAACCATGGTTTGTTGAATAATGATTAGAATCACACAAGTTGCAGAACTCCGTGTCATGGCTTACAATTAAAATAATTGTCTCACACAACATTATGGGAAAACATGGGTTAGAGTGATAAGTGAATCTAGTGTCTCTATGTTCTCCATCAAATAAGGCCTTTTGAAGAGCTGGAATAATTCTACAGGCTTAAGTAGAAAAAAAAACAGCAGCTACATTTCTTCCTACATCTGCTTTTGCTTTGTCCTGGGTTTGTGCTTTTTTTTCCTCCTCCCCTCACAGCCTTAAGCTTTCAGGCAGTGAGACTGGAAGTACTTCTAATCTGGGGATAAGTGTTACTCCTAAGGAGGAGGGTGTTTTCTGTTCATCATTCATGTTTTATACCAACCCCAATACCAACCACATTATTCAGCAAAAAACAAAGAGGTACGTATGTTCATTCCACAAGATGCTTTTGACCTCTCCCTCCTAAACCATGTGCTCCATTTTAGAATATCTTCAATTTGGTTGTAAGATACTGGCAGAAGTAACTTATAATTGTTATGTAACATATGGAGAAAGGAATTAAGATGTGCTGGTAATGCACCTCATAAAAAGCTTCAGGCAAATCTTGCACTGTCTTCCTCGTGAAGACAAAATAATCTTTGAGTATATCGATATTAAATATCTAAATAGCAGTAAAGGGCTCACAACCACCAGCTCTTGCAGTAATTTATTGGTAGTGCTTGATTTATGACCTCAGTTGGGAGCAGAATTTGTTGCTAAGCAAAATGGTTAAGTGAGTCTTACGCCTGATTTTACAAAAAATTTTTTTTGCCATGTTTAAGTGAATCAGTGCAGTGGCTAAGTGAATCACATGGTTGTTAAATGAATCCATCTTCCCCTCATTGACTTTGCTTGTTGGAAACTGGGTGGGAAGGTCAAAAATTGTGATCAAATGATCCCTGCCTCTGCCTTTTTTTTTTCAAATGGCTTTTTAAAAAAACTTTTTTGGGACTGTGGGTATGCCACCCTTATGCACTTTTACAGCTCATTAAGAATTGTGCACAGAGGGACAATTACGGACTATCCAATCTTTTTTTTATCCCTGCTATAAGGATTATTTAATACTTCCAATTATCTTTATTGCAGAAACTTCTCGTAAGAAAGCGTCTGATAAAGCTGGTCTTTCTAAACCATCCACTCCTCGACCTAAGAAATCACCCAAACCCAAGCGCTGAAGAAGAGTGTGGCTGCAAGAAATCCTTTGGCTCCTGATTGTTGTTGTAGTAATTTTGGCTACAGTATGAGCACTGCCTATCCCTAAAATACAAAATTACAATTGCAATTCTTTTGGTTGTATTAATAAGCTATAGGGACAGGTGGTTAAATGAAGATTCTAAAATTCTCATTTTTATTATTTATTTAGAAAATCATCAATGTCTAATTTTGCCTTATTCTGACATGTTTAGATATACACTTCCAGAAACTGCAGATTGGGTTAAGAATATCTTCAGGACAGCTTTTATTATGGCCTGTTTTTATTTTTTAATAGATGTTTTGCAGAATGTTACAGCACTCAGGATGCAGTATCATCTTTGGCATGATCTCTTTGCCTCTCTCAAAACTTCTTGTAACAAAGTGCTGAGAGTGAGGGGTATCAGCACTGCATCCCACCAGTGTTGTCTTGGGAAGATGGCCTTGAAAAATGAGGGGAAATGAGGCTTTTTAAGAAAGAAAGAAAAAAGCATTTGTTCATGAGCCAAGAAGACTGTCATTTCCATTCTGCCAAAGAGAAGTTTTATATATCTTGTTTTTGAATGATATCAAAATTAAGATTTTGACAATTATTTTTCATTGATGATCTTATCGTTTCAGGCCCCTGAGCAGGGTGAAATGCTCCCGGTTTGGACCGGATCGCCCAATCCAGTAGCGATGGAGGCGGGTGGTTCGGAGAACCGGTAGCAAAAATCCCTGCCCCCCCCATGCCCAGCTGAGCCGCGCGATCATCAGAGGCTTTTTTTCTTTTAAAGCCTCTGCTGATCCAACTCAGCTTGGATTGTCAGAAGCATTTAAAAGGAAAAAAGCCTTTTTTTTCTTTTAAAAGCCTCTGCTGATCCAAGCTGAGTTGCCTGATCAGCAGAGGCATTTAAAAGAAAAAACCCTCTGACGATCAGGCAACTCAGCTGGGATCGTCAGAGCCTTTTGAAAGCATTTTTTTACAACCTCTTTCCCAAAGAGGTTGTAGAAAAAATGATTTTAAAAGTTAAAAAAAGGGAGAGGCTTGGGGAAGCTGCTTTATTTTATTTGTGTCAATAGGCAAGTACCTCTGCTTGAGATGCAAATGTATATTTAAATATCTCAGCTGGCAGTTGTTGTCTGGTGTGAGAAGCTGGCAGGCAGGCTGTGACACTAAATGTAGAGGTGAGAACTTTTCTGTCCATTCACTATAAGGGTATTATACAAGATTGATAATAAATGAACGTGGGACTGAACAGTCTTGAAAGAGAAGGCTCCATTTCAGCTTAGTTGAAACATAGAAACCCAATCAAGATGCATTTGAAGGAAAAGCACACAGGTACAGTATGTTAGCTCCTACAAGCATCTTTGGTGGGCTCTTTTCTTTTAATGCTTCCATTCCTCTCAAGAAGCAAAACTGGAGAATTTATCACCCAATACAGTCTATTTTGTTTTTAGCTTTCCTTTTAAAACCAAAAGGGAAATGCAGCTTTCAAATTAGTTTAAATGACTGTTTCTTCCTCTCTCTAGATATATCTTCTCTAACTTTTTAAAATTAAACTAGAAAAAAAGGCTAAATCACAAAACAATGGAATCACGTGACAACCCATTGTTGGAATGTCTCTCATCCTGCTGATGCTGTCAAATCCAGTTGTCTCAATTAAAGCAATTGAGAGATGGACAGGGATGTCCAACATTGGCAACTCTTAAAACCTGTGGACTTCAAGCTGGCTGGGATATTCTGCGAATTGAAATTCATAACTTAAAATTGCCAAGGTTGGACTCCCCTAGTCTAGGATAAGACTTGATAAATCATTATATTAAAGAATCTCAATATTTCCCCTTGTCTGAGCCTAAAATGGAGAAGGAAATCAAGTCCCTTCTTTTCTTCTTTCAGCCTGACACCAGTGAGTTCCTGAATGAGTCATCTTGAACCGAGGACTTTTTAAAATTTGCTTTAATTTCCCAAAGAAGAGAGAAAAAGATCCTCATTAGTATCCTAGTTTGGAGAGAGGGAAAAACTCTTGCTGGCCAGGAAGCACCTTGCTGTTCAGCTGTGCAATTTTATCCATCCTTTTCCTTTCATTCCATCTCTTCCTTTCGTTAAATGAACTAAGCTGACTTCCATCACACCCGATAGCAATGTTTATATGTATGTAATATGCATATAGGTTTGCAAATGAGCATACTTCATAACAAGAACTAATGACATATTATGCCAATTCTATATCAGTTTTACTGGATTTTACTTCTTTCTTGATCCCAATTCAAAATGTTGTTATCAAGACCTAGAAACTATAATGTTTGACATAACAACTGTATTGAACATGTTATGATCTTGCCCAAATGCTAAAATCATTCTTGAATACTATGTTGTTGTTTTTAGAATAGATTAGAATTCTTTATTGGCCAAGTATGATTGGACACACAAGGAATTTGTCTCCGGTGCATAAGTTCTTAGTGTACATTCAAGCAACAAGTGATAAATCATTATGATAATCATCATAAAATGCATTCACCATATAACATTTAGCGATAGTTCCAGGATACTAAATAAGCAATCAACAGAAATCATATTAGGAAACTAAATAAAACAATTAATTTAAATTGTAAGATACAAGCAACAAAGTTATAGTCATAAGAAAATAAGGAAATAGGTAATAGGAAAGATGAGAAGGATAACATTAATACAGCCATACTAGGTACTTTGACAGTGTTGTGGGAATTAGTTGTTTAGCAGGGTGATGGCATGGGGGAAAAAACTGTCCTTGTGTTTGTTTTGGTGTGCAGTGCAGTGGTGAAATTCAGCCGGATCTATCCGGATGCACAATCCGGAAGCACTGGCGGTGGGAGGCTCCGCCCATCCGCCCAATATCATCATGTCCTGTTTTTTACCTTTTGCGCATGCATGTGCTCACATTTGCGAGCCGGTAGGGAAAGGTAAGTGAATTTTACCCCTGGTGGTCTATAGCATCATCTTGAAGGAAGAAGTTCTGGGTGCAGTTCCATGTCGAGATATGGCAGCTCACTTTTCTTTATCCTAAGAGTGTCCAATAAGTTTGTTTTGAAGACGGAGGAAGGACCAAATGAATTAAAGAACCAGTCAGTTCAGGGTTCTTGCTTGAGGGACAAATGACCAGCTTTACATTATCATTATTTTGACATGTGAAGACCTATGGCCCTTAAGAATTCTATAAATATGGGAAAGGTGAGAAAAGAGAAGAGAAGAACCAACAATAAGATGAATGGATGAGCTCAGTTTCAACAGGAATGGATATACTGTCCATTGTGAATCTTGGTAGGCCAGGCTGAGAATAGATCATCCTGGAAAAAGTCTGTGATTGCTAAGAATGGTTCTTAGTAATAATGATACAATTTAAAAATAAATAAATGTAATAGATTTTACAAACATACAACTATTTTTTTTTAATGATGCATATATTTTAGTCAAATACATGAGACTCGGAGGTAAATTCATATGTCAGGATTTACAACACTCTTGTCATTTGTATCCTGAGATCTGAGTTTGTTAACTTTTTATTTGATTTCTATTACTATTTGAATTTTAAGCAAAAGATTTAGTTGCCAATTATGTGGTGAATTGTATCAACTACAGCTTGAAATCATGATCTTTTGAATTCTACAATTTCTATAACATGGGGGAGTCCTTGCCCTTGGAAGTTTCTGGATTATTTTCACAACCTGAAGAGTTGTAGCCAGGGGATGTTTGATTTACTGCAACTGAAAGGCTCAGGGGGTCAAAGGGTAAAGACAGAAAAAGGGTTGGAGGTTTTTCAGAAGACAAGTTCTGCAGAGTATGAAGGTAACGGAGCTGGATAGCAGCTGGAGTATGGGACAATGTCTCAGCTGCTATCTTCAGAGATTCAGAAGCAGCTTTTTCACCTTCAGCAGCGATCACCTACAACACAAAGGCCATTTGAGAATTGAATCTGTTATTTCTATAACCATATCACTGAGATAGCCTAAATTAGAAAGAAAAAGTATGCTCTGCCCTCTATATTGTATGATGCTGTATTACTTTGTCCAAGAATCATCTGCGATATTTAGCTTAGTCCCAATTTTGTCCAGTGTTCAATAAAAAATATCTTAACCAATGTTCCTACACACAGCACAGATTCTTTTTTAGTTTCTCCTTCAGTAATTTACAAGTTAATTTCTATTCCTTTGGATGCAGAGAATTTATTGTGCTGCATATTTTTCTTGTTTCATAGCAAAATAATAGTACTTTGTGCAAGCACTTTGTGCAAATTCACACAAAAGAGTAGGGAGAGGAAGCAGGACAGAATGTGCTGTCTTACAAGTTATGAAAAGCTGTAAGGTTCATAGTTATCTGAAATTGGAAAGTAAGCTATGGATCATGGAGACTAGTCTATGGGAGGTCACTAACACTCTCCATTCTTTTCCTCAGGTTTCTTTTCCTCTGCCCTGCCATTCCCTCTGAATCCAATGCCATCAGAAGAAAAGCATTCCACCCCCCACCCCCCACATGATCTCCTGTAATAAAAATGTACTGCTGACTTACCCTTACTTTAGCATGACGCTGGGCTTCTGCTTGTGCAGATAGTGACACCTGGAGCTCAACTGGCAGCCGAATGTCTTTACTGAAATAAAAATAGGAAACTGAAAGAAAGGCTACTCTCCAGGCTTAGAAACAATAGAAGACGCTTGACATCTTGAGAATATATGTATTTTTGGTTACTATTTTTTTCATGTCATGATCTAATTACACCAACTTAATTCAGCTTTTTACTGCTGAGACAAATCTTGGACTGGTATACTAGTTGAATGTTTGTCCCAAGTGCCTATAAGTCAGCTCATTTGGAGTTGCTATTATCTCCATACCAAGGGTGAAATGCTCCCGGTTCGGACCGGATCACCCGATCCGGTACTGATGGCGGTGGGTGGTTTGGAGAACCGGTAGCAAAAATCCCTGCCCCCCCCCATGCCCAGCTGAGCCGCGTGATCATCAGAGGCTGGTTTTTTTACTTTTAAAAGCATTTTTTCTACAACCTCTTTGGCCAAAAAATGCTTTTAAAAGTAAAAAAAAAAAGCCTCTGATGATCGCACGGCTCAGCTGGGATCATCAGAGGCTTTTCAAAGCATTTTTTTCTGCAACCCCTTTGGCCGAAGAGGTTGTAGGGGAAAAAATGCCTTTAAAAGCCTCTGGCGATCCCAGCTGACTTGCCTGATCGTCAGAAGCTTCTAAAAGCATTTTTTTTCTGCAACCTCTTAAGGTTGTAGAAAAAATGCTTTTAAAAGTTAAAAAAAAAAAAAAGTTGGCCATGCCCACCCAGTCACATTAGCCCCCCCCACCAAGCCACACCCACAGAACCAGTAGTAACAAATTTTAGATTTCACCCCTGCTCCATACCATGCAAACTGATTTCTTAACCACTTTGCCTACTTAAGGAATCAGGTTGGGGTTGGGGTTCTAGAAATAGCCTGCCTATCCTGGGTTGATCCATGGATAATTTGTTTTGACTTCTGTCAAGTTTAGAAGTGAGATCCATTCTCATAAGAGACCAATCCTGTATTATTTACAGATACAAATTTGCTTCAAAGATAATTTTTTATTCATTAATAAAGAAACTGGTGGTGTAGCTACGCTGTCTTTTTATTTCTTTTGTTCTGACTAACCACAGTCCAGACTCTCTCTCAATGAACTCTGTATAGGGAGGTTTGACCACAATTGCAAAAGCTGTGTTATCTACATGGCTACTCGGGACTATATCCCCACCATTATTCCCAGTTAGATTAAGAAGGCTATCATCATGGAGAGCTGATATTCTTCTCCTAAGCCCTATCTTCACATTCTCCTACTTATCTTTTTTGGCATATACCCCAAAGGACCACCATTTTATGGGACCCTCACAGACATATGCTCCAATCACTTTATGCCATATCTCCAAAGCTCAAATGCAATTCGACTGAGATTTGTCATACCCTCTGTCTCCAAAGTGTCTCTGGTCAGTCTTTGGAAGTTCTGTCCTATGATCTCATTCACTATGATCTCACTTTGAAAAAGCTGAGGACGGGACCAAGGGTGGTCTTATTCTCTTTCAGAGTTGAAAACAGACTTGCAAGGCCTTGAATTCATTACTCTTGCTCCCTTTTGCCTCCTCTATGCATTTGACACAAACAAATGCCTTTAAAAAAAAAATTCCCTCTTTTGTATGGCTGCCATGGCATCACTATTTACATGCATGGCGACTCCACAGAAATAAATCAAGGCCAAAGCATTTTGGAAGTGTTAGAGTTAGGGCAGAGCATGAGTCCAAATATAGAGTTATAATCCATGAATGGTTTCCAAGTTAATTTAAATTTTACATTAGACATTTTTTACATAGGAAGTTATTTTTGACCCTCAGGCATATTCCCATAGTTTAGTTTGCCAATCTTCTAAAAAGGTAAGTACATGCTGTTTGGACATTGTTCTTCTTCAAGTGCAATCTAACCTGTACAGAATCCAATGGCACTTTAATTCCTATGAACTAGTTGCACTGCCTCTGTTGACATAATTCAAGTCTGCATTGGGTTTTTTTAGATACTTATGCTCACAAGTCATTTTGTCAGGGAAACACTTGGAAGGAACTACTGCTGTTTCTTCACTGATTTATTTGCTTCAGTTTAGATATCTGTCACATAAGGAGCACCTATTCCAGGGGTGAAATGCTCCCGGTTCGGACCAGCTCGGGCGAGTAGGTAGCGATGATGGCCGGTGGTTCGGAGAACCGGTAGCAATGGCAGCTGGAGGCTCCGTCCACCCGCCCACCCTCCCCATTGCCCGGACTTGGGGAATGCACCATTCCTTGGACTCCTACTGCTCACCTTTCTCCCGCAGCTGGCTGTCAGGGAAGGCAAGCGCCTGAAAGGTACCGGAGTCGCTCACTCTCCTTGAATGAGCTGCTCTAGTCCACGCGCCGGCTGCACAAGCATACACCCAACCTGCCGCTGAATTAAATAAACGGTGTGCACTTGCGCCGCCGGCGTGTGGACCAGAGCGGCTCATTCAGGAAGGAGAGTGAGCTACTCTGGTACCTTTTGGGTGCTTGCCTTCCCTGACAGCCAGCTGCGGGAGAAAGGTGAGCAGTAGGAGTCCGGGGAATGAAGCGGGTGGGCGGAGCCACAGGAGAAAGAAATTTAAAAAGTTTTCCTACCGGGTTCTGTGGGCGTGGCTTGGTGGAAGGGGGTCTTGGGACTGAGTGGGCGTGACTGTGAGTGACATCGAGTTGGCCATGCCCACTCAGTCACAGGACACCCCCCCACCAAGCCACGCCCACAAAACCGGTAGGGAAAAATTTTAGATTTCACTTCTGACCTATTCTCTCTCATGATTTTACTGTAAAAAAACACAACTCTCCAGCATCTTCAACCATACTCCAGAGCAGTATTTCTCAACCTTACGTTCTGTGCACTTCTGGTTGGCCAACCTGGCTGGTTGGCTGGTTGGGAAATTCTGGGAGTTGAAGTCTGTATATCTTAAAGTTGCTGAAGTTGAGAAACTCTGCTACAGAGACACTTGGAAAGGCTGAAAGCCACTTCCAGTTTGCATAGACAACAGGAAGGGAAAATAAAACTAATTAATATATTTCACAGATGCCTTTACTGACTAGTTCATTCATTCATTCAATCAATCTTGGTCAATATTAGGACTAATATTCTGAGTATTTTATCTCTAGTCAAAGTTGCTAGTTGTAGCTTTTCTGGCCATTCACCTTCCATTCGGGATGGAGATGTCAGTGCACAGAGATTGAAAACAGATTGCAACAAACTTGCAGTCCTTTTTTAAAATCAAGTTTAATCAAAGAAAACCTTAAACACTTGCATAACATTTTCAATATTGCAGAAACACTTGATATCTTAAACACTTGTTACAAGCATCAGTTCTTATATTGTTGCTTGTACTCATAAACACTATACAATGAAGATTCATCTAGAATTAGTTTATGCCTAGACTCACAATACAGCAAGGAACAAGTAAAATAGCACAAAAGGGTATGCAGGCTTTGGAGTTCTCCAGCACTCTTCATTGGAGACAATGTTATCAAAAATAATACAAAAACAGGATGGAGAAAAAGCCAGGAAATCTATAACTAAGGATAGGTGTTTCAGCTATGAGGTCTGCAATTCAAAGCCAGGATAAATATGAAGGCAGACTGACTGTCAATGGAAGTATTCCCAGTAATAATTATAATATTCCTGTCTGTTTCCATCATGCTCAAAGATTGTGGGTTTTTGTAACCTCTTGCCTAATGAAGATTCTGGAAAATGCAACTCTCAGACAAACCATTATGTCATTTTTGTTAATCCTAATAAAATCAATCTAACAATGGATTTTATATTTCTTCATGGACTGGCATAAGCATAACTATTAATTATAGGCCAACATAGAAAGAATATGTAATACTTGAATGGAAAGTTACAAATTATACCTAACAGTTAAAGTTTTCATTCTTTTCCTGTCCTGATATTTGGACGTGTTTTTTTTTTTTTTTTTTTTGGTTTTACAGTGTCCGGATTTCATACCTACATTTCTGTCAGCTCCACTTTGATCCCCCACTGACAGGTGATGGCATCCACGGCCACCTGCATAAAAAGAAAAAAGAAGATGAATGAGGTGGAAAAATTATTCAAAGTAAAAACCCACAATTATTGGCCTATTTTTGGTATCTAGCTTGGCACGTATTGAAAACAAAAGCTGGATTGAATATACTGTATACCGTATTGGTCAAGCTTAGCAATGCAATTCTTACAAATTCGCATCTTTTGAAATATCTTTTAAGAAAGAGAAACTGTCCAATAACAGGGGAGTATTATTTTATTAATGCCAATTCACTGATTACAATGTTAATATTTATGATGGTTTTGCCTATCATGCAGTGTTATCACAAAATCCTCATTTTGCTCACCTTTATCTCCTGGCTGATGTTCTTTCTCTCCATCAGAATGTCAGTGAAAGTCCAATGTGCCAGTAAGCGCTTTGTGATAGTCTGTACCAGCATCTGAACTGCATTAGAACGATTAGCGAGGGTGGTCATCAGCAGAGTAACATTCTCCATTCGATAGTAGCAGATAGTATTTAATTCTAAAACAGCCATATCATTGGTGATCACCTACAATAAATAGAAGGCATTACGTGCAATATTCAATGTAATAAGATGAAGAACGGGTATGGTAGTAATTTTGTCAGTCACTGGAAAGAAATTGGAAATCCAGGACATTCAAAAATTGGGCAATGTTATTATTGTAGTATCTGGGCTGGTAAAGATTATAGGAATCTCACAAGATAGATTAATAACATCTGTGTGGCATGTGTTTTTGTATGGAGAAGTGGCAAGGCACAACTATGACAAAGTTTCTTAAATTTATGTAATTAGTTCATTTTACAATTGAGATATCAGCTTTAAACTTTTGACTGCCAACAATGGATTGATTTGCTAGAATTCAGAATCATATTACTCTGAGTATTTTACAATTAAAACAGTGGAAAATAATTGAGGAAAATAACATTTTCCTCAAAACACAAATTACCTTACAAAAAACTCATCATGGTCTCAACAAACCACCTAGTTCCAGGCCAGGGAGCCCAGACACATTTTCAAAGATTTGTCAAACTCTTGTAGGATAGGAGTTGAATCTCACTGGTCAGGCAGAATCATGGAAACAGGTGGTCCCTCAAAGAACCAGGTCCTATGCCATGAAAGCACTTACAGGTGACAATCAGTACCTTGAATTGCACCCAGCAGCAGACTAGCAACCAATGCAGGTTGCGAATCATTAATGCACATGGGTGTATCAAGTGTGGCCAACACTGTAGCATTTTTGGACTAACTGTAGCTTTCAGGTGGTCTTCAAGAGCAGTCAAATTGCAACATTCCATTATGAGGCAACCAAAACATAAGTGACAGTCTGAAGAGCTTCCCATTCTAGGAATAAAGCACACAAAATGGACCTGTGCAAAGATCATCCTAGCCAAAGCTGCCACCTGGTCTTGGAGCGGTAGTTGTGAGACTATGATGGTTCCCAAGTTATGCACTGGTCTCAAATGGAGAAGTGCCATCCCATCTAAGACCAAAGGTGAAAAAAAGAGATCCAGGGGCCCATCCATTTAGTCTTCTCAGGACTGAAGCTAAGGCTCTCCATCCAGACCTGAACAATATCCAGGCATTGGGTTAGGACATTGACACTGGACAAACAAAGGTTGACATGTATAATTGAGTATCACCTGCATATAGATGATATCAGACCCAAACATCACCCAGCAATTTCATGTAGATATTAAAAAGCAGAGGCAGGAGCATGGACACTCAGCAAGAAAGGAGGTATGGACACAACCTCTCTTTCTCTGTTAACATTGACTGGAACTGACCACTAGGGAAGGAGAACCACTGCAATATAATGCCACCCATTCTTAATCCCCCCCAGTCTGTCCATAAAGATACCATGGTAGAAGGTACTCAAAACTGCTGAGAAATCAAGATGGTTACAGTACCCTATCCTGGCTTGCCAAATGTCATCAAAAAGTATAATCAATAGAGAATCTATGTAACTTGCTATAAAGCATGAAAACCCTTCTGAATGGAGAATCTATGTAACTTATTTCTATAGTGTGTCTGCTTGGCAACTGTCTCATTTCTTCATTAATCCATATGATTTTCTCCAGCAGATGAGCTAGAAAAGCATGAGTAAGCTATAATTAAACTCACTTACCTCACATAAAGGAATCTCTAAAGTTTTGAGACGAATGTCTATTTTGTGGTAAGTATCCAGACAGGGAAGGAGAAAAAACAAGCCTTTTAGGAGAAACAGAACAGCATAGAAGTTACATGATAGGAATTAAGAGCCCACTTTTTGATGCTCATTTTATCAAGTTATCATATTGGGACTTTACATATAGAAAAATTATTGGCTGATCATCAGGTGCATTCTAACCATGCATGTATTTATGTGCATGTGTGTATCTGACCCAACATCAAATGACTAACAAATTAAGGTCAACTCATACTGAGAAATAGTGGCCATTTAGGTTGCTATCAGTTTTCTTTATAGTGACCATGCACACCTTCCCTTTTAATAAAAGTAATAGTGACCTGATGGAGATTTGAATCATTTTCTCTCAAGTGTTAAAAAAATATTTATGCATTTATGAAAAAACCAAAAAGGGATAAAAAGTTGTTGCAGCCAAAATTAAAAGGCTTGCTCTAATCTTCTGATTCCATGCCTAGTGATCAAAAAGGAGAGTTAATCTCCCAGTAACCATTTTATAACAAATTTTACAAGAAAGGTTCAGGAGTTATTATTATCACAATTTGACTTGAGTTAAGGTTCCTAGGTTTTGCTGTCTATGTTTATACTACAGAAACTATCAACCATATTCCCACAAATGTGTTGTGGGAATCTAGTACTTGTCAGATTATGTTTGCCATGCAGATTCAAAAAACTGAGTTAAATAAGTCATGATTTACTTATTTAACCAGAGGTTATTTGCATGATTCTTAGATTTTCCAGTAACCTATTTTACCATGTCCTGGGAATGGTTTGGTTTGCAGAAATGACTCTAATCTTTTTGTCCCGCTGATATCTTTGTCAAATAATTTCTGAAAGTTTATGAAATGTTTTAAAAATCTTGAACAGAAACAATGGTGGATTGGAGTAGTGGCCATCACATCTTTTGCCTTAACATTTTAATATATTTTTGTCAGTTTCTAAATTTCTTTTACTCCATGCTGAAGTCCTTGAGACACCCTCTCATTTTGTTTCTTGCATTTTCAGCTGATCAGTATGCCTAGGAAAAATTCTCAGAATTTCTACCTGTTGCTGATGTAGCACCACATAGATTGGCAGATTTAGTGTGAAATGTGTAACTAAGCCAAAAAGAGATAAGTGACCGTGGTGCTGTTGTATTTAGCATATCAGTTAGCACAGGAATTCTGGTCCCAATTATCATTCATAAACAAGGACTACCTGGAAGATACTTACCATGGAGTATAATACCATCACATGTAATTACAAAAAGGAAAACTTTTTTTTAAAATAAGGGGATTAAGAAAAACTGCAGAGAAGTTATTTAAAATCACAGTAACTGAAACTCCACAGAAATGTATTCTGTAATTCCAAGGAAAGGTCAGCAAAACTTTTTTATAGCTTCTAGAAAGATACAAGGTTTTCTTTTCTTCCCAGCAGAGCAAAAAATCTGGCAAAATAATCTAAAGTGATAATAAAGAATGCAAACCCTTCTAACAAAATGGGGAAAGAGTTTATGTAGCAGATGGCAAAAACATTAATGGAAACAATAAGAATTTGTTTTACAATTTTATTGTAATATGTTTGCTGTCTGCAAAAATCCAGGTGACTACAGATGGCAGCAAAAAGGCAAGGTTTTTCTGCCATCTCATTGCTCTGCACTTTACAGGAAAGGACAGGGTTCTATACCTCCAAGATATCTGTAAATCTATATGTAATAAATGTGTAACAAATATCCATTTGGAAACTGTTAGTATTTAAAGTGGTGTGTGTGCAACTATCTTAAACTATCTCCCTCTCAATTCAAGTAGTATAGAAAAAAATATAGAGATCACCCCATGGTAATGAAATTGGTTTTAGTTTTTACCGTATCACAAATGAAGTTGCCAATATTATACCATTTTATTTACTACCCTATTGATTACATAATTCAACAATGAGAACTAGCAAGGTGATTTCTTCACGTGATGTCCGCTATGTATTTTAGCACAACCCTAGTTGTGCCATTGTTTCTCAACAAGATTGACACTGGTACCTTCTCTTACAATATCAGTGACCCCAATAGATCAGTCTATATAGATGTCACAGAAAATAGTGTTATATTTAACTTGTGGTCATGCAAAAATCTAAGAATCTTTGTATACTTACCAGGCCCTCTTGGCCTTCCATGAAGAATATGACCAAATCGGAATAAAACAGCTCTCTCATATTCTCGTACAATCTGTCATAAAAAACTGGAGATGAGTAACAGAATTTGGGAGGAAGAAAAAAAAAAGGAAGCAAATAGAGCAAAAATTTAGCTCCAGAAAGATTTTAATAGATTGCTCAATGCCAAGCGGAGGAAATTAAAATGATGAGAGGAATCAGCCTTGTACTTTTTTCTGTTTTAACAGTTTATGGCAGCAGTCCCCAGCCTTTATGACTTGGCAGTGGAGGAGAGGGGAACTGGCCCACCCCTTGTGCAAGTAGAGCTGCATGCGTGTGCACCGGCCCACCATTCACATAAGTAGAGCTGTGAGCACATGCACCAGCTCAACACTCGCGCATTCCAGTTCCAAATGGGCCATGGCCCAGTAGTGTAGAATAGAGTAAAGGAATAGAATAGAATAGAATAGAATAGAATAGAATAGAATAGAATAGAATAGAATAGAATAGAATAGAATAATTATTGGCTAAGTGTGATTGAATACACAAGGAATTTATCTGATGCATGCACTTTACTGATTGTTGTCTCTCACGTGTATCAACTTTAATCTCTAGAAATACTCTTACCTTCATACAGAACCAGATGGAAATGGGAAATGTGATTATGATGAGAAGGAGTGAGAGGATGACAAGAAGCCACTCACAAATGCCTAAACCTGGAGACTTTAAGCCTGCAGAAAAACAGATACAAGATGTAGAATTCTCCTGGTTTTTTTAAACCTGCATTTGTTATTGGATGAAAAAGTAAGATTTTAAAAAAATCAATATGGAATATATACCCGCTGACCCTCATTATTTTGGGAATAAAGGAGACTATAAGAAGATAAAACAGAACTGAGATAACATGTTCAAATTTCATCTGTAGATGAAAATAGGGACTCTTCTATATTCTAATTCAGATTAAACTTCCAGCATATATTTTGGGTTTTTCTTAACTGTTAGCATTTCCTCCTTGTTCCCCAATGTCAGTCTCAAGGTATGTAAACTCAATTACGTGTCCCCACCTATTACATAGGAGGCAAAGTCAGGTGATCAGTAGTGGGTGTGATTACAAAGGAGCTCTGGGTCTTTTAAGCAGAGGTGAGATTACTCCTTCTATCTGATCCCTAGTCAATCTCTTCAAACACCATTCTGCTATTCTCTGCCTAAAAAGATGAACTTAGTGGCACATGAAATGTCAAGGAAACTACTTGCCATATATTGTTCACCTTGGGAGGCAGTCCAGATAAGAAGCACATCTAGACATACTAATTCTAATTTTAGTGTATTGCTACATTAACAAATCTTGCAAGCTTGAAAGTACATCTTCTTCTTCCTTCACCTTTTCAGTCCAGGAAACTAGGGAGGGTTCCTTCTGAGACTTTTGTCGCATCCCATTCCTTCTGCAGATTCAGCTGCTGCTTGTCTGACTGTTGTCTACAGTACGATTCTTTCTCCTATATGCCAAGGTCATTCCCATAATATCATTACATTGTTGCCAGCAAAACTACTTGGATTGTCCTTGTGGTCAGCAGGGTAAGGACTTTATTATTTTTAAAATAAACACTATATTTTGGAGCAGGGGTGATCATTGCGGTATTAGGTATATCAGATTTGTACAAGAACACAGCATTTTTATTTATGTGTGCTTTTAGATTAACACAGCTTGGCACATGAAATGTCAAGAAAATGTAACATTTGTGAAAATACATAATCTTGTGTGTGTGTGTGCACCAAAAAACTAAATGGACTTGTCCGTTTAATCATAAGGATTCAAGTTTGACTTGAAAGAGACTTTACATACTTTTTAAATATTTAAAACAGAATGGAGAGGAGGCCATCATTGTTTTAGCGGCCCAGGCAACTTGCAAAAAAGTGCTAGACTGCCCTAGTTTGTTCTAACTCTATAGTTTTTCTTGGTCTGGTTAAAATAGTACAACTTCAAAATGATATAAAGGAGTAGAGAAGTCTTAAATAAAAAGTTTTCAATTAAGAAATGCTGCTTGTTACTCGGTTCCATTCGTCATCCCTCTAAAAAAGTAATTTGCGTTTATGATTAAATGGGGAGGAGGAGCATACAAGGAACCTTGAAAGGACAGACAGGTTCTCTCAAGGTCTTTCTAAGTCAGACCTGCCCTATTTCCTGCTGCAGTATATGACTGATGGATATTTTTCTCTTTGGTGAAGTACCAAGTGGAAAGATAAAAAAGAACTAGTGGATTAAACCAATCATTATGTTTGTTATGAGCGGCACACAGAAACATTGGAGTAACATTACAAACTGGATACTTTGTGTTTATGATCTGAAATCAAAGAATGATTATTTATCAATAGTTCCTAGGGCTGCTTCCACTCAAACACCATTATTCTTTTGTTCTTTACATTCAGCTTTCATCTGGTAAGTACTGTATGTTATAGAGAACTGTGGCTGTGGAACTGACCCTGTTTTTATGTTATATGCCTTTTGTGTTTGGAAGGAACTCTAACAGCCCCTGAAGGACTACTAGAACTTCTGAAGCTTAGGCCCTGAGGGGTGTTTGTGTATGCATGTGCAAGTAGATAGAGATTCAAGGAGTGAACCCTAATAAAAACCAAGGGGAAACTAAGTGGTGCTCAACTGATATCAAACAGAGCCTGTTAAAAATGGAATAGAAATATATTTTAATTCTAGCAGAAAATAATGTTTCTGTTTTGCCCAGCCCTTTATCCTGAGATTCTTCATATAGTTGTTTATTTAAAAAAAAATATCTAAAATTCTTCCAAGAACAAGCAACTTCATGCAATAGTAGTTCCAAGAATGGGCATAATAATGTGAACTAGCCAATGGGTCTCTAGATGCCAATACCACTCTTAGAAGTCCTCCTCCTTCATTCTTTCTTACATTCAAGATTTGCCTGAAACTTTATCTTGGTGCACATCAGAGTTTAGCAAAAAGGAAAGCAGAAAAGATTAGAGATGAGAAAAATAAAGATTGCATGCAGGCAGACCTAGAGTCTCACTTCTTCCTTCTATAACCAGCACAATTGTGTGTCAAAGAGCCAAAGAGAATTCACAAGGGGTTTCCCCTTAATTATTCTTCTCAAAGGTGAAGCCTGATCAGTTACAGAATCCTCTTTCACAAACTCAAAATTAGGAATATACTATTTCTACCATTTGATGCCCTCTTAGCCATTTTTATCAACAATCATCAATTTCATATGTTCTGACAAAAGCAAGTACACTGTAAAAATTGTAAATCAAATTATTTGGCTGTTGCTTGTCCATGCTCTAAAATAAATATCTATATTTCATATCATTTGACAATACAACCAGAGCACAACTGCCTTATCTAAGGAAATGCTGTAATGCAACAGTAGAACCCATGTTGTGGATATGATACTGGAAATCCAATTCAAACCCTGTCATCCCCAGCAGCGCTAAGAAAGAACTATTATAACTGTTCCAATCATAAACAAAGCTGAGTTAGAAGGCCCAGTGAAATGGTTTGGTATGAGAATTTTTTTTAGAGATTTTTTTGCTTATAGATTCTTCAGAGTGTAATCTTGATATAGATAAGCACTTGTTTATTGCTCTGCTAAACCAAATTCATTTTGGAAAACAGAAACCAACAGCAGGTTACCAGGACTCAATCTACTTAACCTAGGTCCTTCATTAGGCACAAAAAAAAAAAAAAAATTCAGCCACAATTTCAGCAGGGAACCTGTTGATATTAAATAATTCGGAACGACCTGGAAGCTTGGCCTTCTAACAAATCAACCCTTAACATATAGGTAAATCCTATTTTCATACCATTTAAAACCAACCCAGATTGGTAACACAGAGGGAGACAGATAAACAACCAGCAAACCACACTCTTACACATGCTGATGATGTTACCTATCTTAATACTGAAACATCTGCAGAAATACAACCAAAGTCAGAAAACACCAATAACCTAATTATTAGGTTTCTTCTGAATCTCTAGTGAATATCTAATAGCTAGGTCTCACTGATGTCTAATTTCCTGAGGTTTCTAAGAAAAAGATTATAGAAGAAAAATTAAAATAGATGTGGAGATCTACCAACCTGAAGCTTTGCACCAAGTTTTCTCAATGGAAGAAACATATCACAGATCAAATGACTATCACTTGAATTTGAGTCAAATTTAAAGTCTGAACCCTTCATACATGCCCCATTTTAAACACACACTAAATTTCACATTCACTGAAACTACTGTTCAGAATTTCTGCTTGTGCTGTATACTGCACTAATATTTGCCCCTGGGAGGCTAACTATTAACACTTCTAGGTAGCTTTTGTATTTTCCCAGTAAACCGTTTGCTTTGAGCATGCTTATCTTAATAACTTTGTAACAATTTTGTTGATTTCTTTTGGTCATGTTGTCTTAAAACGCAACTAGGAAGTGATTACAAGATCTCTTCCCTTGTTAAATTCTCATGATATATTACAGAATTTGGTTCTTTTGCATTTTGCTACTACCCAGAGCTGGTCGCTATCTGCAAGGGACAGGACAGATAAATTCAATGTATTTATATCATCCTGCTGTCTTTAATTAAACATGACTTACAGGGTATGTCTACCAGATCAGAAAACATGCAAGAGGTAGACATTTAACTCCTTGCTGTCTTCCAATGATTCCTGGATTTTAACAATCCAGATTGGTTTGCTTGTCTTCATTCCTTTTTCCTCATAAGAGATAGTGTTGACTTTAAGGATTGTAGATCTAGGATCTCTTAAACTGGGCTCTCTTCAGGAGATGGACCTGTCCAGGGGATGATTTACTGGTGTTGTGCCCCATTTCTTCCCTTACCTTCCTCCTGCTTCTCGCTTTCAAGCAATGCCATCACCTCCATTTCTTCATTAAATGACACCACATCATCCACATCAACCACTGTGGAAGTATGGATTTGGTTGCCTGCTTGAAGGGTGCTTTTGGTGTCCTTTTTCAGTTTCTTCTGATTGGATTGCTGCCTCTCTTTGCTGGTTTTCTGTCTGTGTGCCATCTTCTCTTTTTTGTTCCCTGGAGATGACTTCTCTCTGCTTCTCCCATGCTTCTCCCTAGAAGAGCTCCGAGACCTTTTTTCATCACTCATTGTGTTGTCTGAACTGTAGGAAGCAGCTCTAGATGAGAAGGTGGGAGACTGTGCTGCCTAGAAATTTATGTAGCCAAAGGGGAGGGAGAAAGGGAGGGAAAGTACAATGCAAAAGAAGAATCTTTATTCTCAGACAGGGAGCTACTGGACAGTCAGACCAGTCCTGAATTTCAGAAAGTATGGTGAGAATGGAAAGGTAGGCTGCAGCAGTGCGGCGTGATATGGAGCAAACTGAGAATGCAAGCTTACTATTGTAAGGAAAAATCATGGTCAAATTATTCTCTCCCCTTATTTGTATGCAGGATTTCCAGATCTTACAAGATGAGGAGTGATATGGAAGCAAAATTCTCTATAAAGAGCTGCTGGCCAGATCCCCTTCTAGAACAATTCCCAAATCAATGAATGCCAGTGTTGCTAGTATAACATATAGAATCTAGAATATACTTTAGGAAATGAACTAAGTGTAATCTTCAGAATGTATGGATCTGCGGTGGCGGTGGAGTGCAGTACTGCAGGCTACTTCTGCTGACTGCCAGCTGCCTGCAATTTGGCAGTTTGAATCTCACCAGGCTCAAGGTTGACTCAGCCTTCCATCCTTCCGAGGTCAGTAAAATGAGGACCCAGATTGTTGGGAGCAATATCCTGACTCTGTAAATAGTTTAGAGAGGGCTGTAAAAGCACTGTAAAGCGGTATATAAGTCTAAGTGCTATTGCTGCTCACAGGCTGCATGTACTCTTCCCTCCAAAGGAATGCAATACCATTCAAGAGTTATCATTTCAGTCATTATCTCTTTCATGTATGGCTTTAGGACTTCTACTGCTATACCAGTGATATAGTAAATAAGGTTTGTCCCTGGAAAATAATAGCAGTTACCTCTTGTAAATATCCTGATTTGATGGATCTTGATGTTAATACAGGTAAATTACCTGTATTGGGTAATTACCTAACTCACAACAAAAATGGAGCCTGCCCATTGTAGTCATTAACTCATGATGGTTGTAAAATGGATCCCCACTTGACTGATCCAATTTTACTATCTTTTTTGTGGTGGTCACTTTGCAAATATGGCAGTCATAATGTGGCAGCTGTGGTCATTAAGCAAACACTGTGGTCATTAAACTATGGTTTGCAATGGGCCAGTTTTGCTAAAAACTGGAAGTAAATGCTGGTTTTCAGTAAAAACATTGTAAAACAGTAACAGCAGTGCTGGATACTGCAAATGGCCGTAATTGTGGACTGGCTGCTGGATTATGTGACCATGGGGTGAGGATGGCAGCCATTACCGGAACTTCGGAATCAAGTTGTGAATACCCTGGGGAGGACCATCATAACTTTGAAGTCGCTAAGCAACCATTGTAAGTCTAGGACTACCTGTAATGTCCCAATTGACAGTCCCACCATTGTCCAAATGGAAAACCAAAAATGTGTTTTCACACGTGCTGCTGTGAATATAGTCACTTCTTCCGTTCTTCCTATGTGCTAAATTTGTTATCTAAAATAGCTTTAATACACTGGTTTTACAATGTATACTTACTGTAATTTAAAACTCTGATATTTGAAGAACTATTAAAGTACAGTCTTTTGTATTTTATTTGCAAATAAATCCCCCTATTATGGGATTACATATGATAACCTGGTGTACATAAATACACTAATAGTTTTCTCTGTTCTTGACACCAAATACGTGTCTCAGGCAATTATATATTAAACCAATGGTGAGAAAATCTGCTAGAAATTGCTGAATAGTAACTCCCAGAAGTCCCAATCAGTATGACCAGTGAGGCAGGATGTTGGGAGTAACACTCCTGTGCAAAATATTTGAGTGGGATGAAGTCTTTCTGTTCAGGATTAGAACTACAATTCATTCATTCTTGCTATTTCCATTACATCGAGATTCCACTGTCCATGTGTAAGATTAGTTGTTTTTTTTAAAATCAGTGCTGTTAGTACTACTCATTCTGAAATGCTGATGTGAGAAAGAAGAAAAAGTGAATTTAAGGAGGCAATAATCCATGTTTTTCTTCCTCACTTGGATTCCTTTGTAATTAGAAATCTGTGCCACTAGGCCAGGGGTGGGCAACTGTGGCTCTTTTACAACCTGTGGACTTCAACCCCCAGAATTTCTGAGACAGCTTGGCTGTCTCAGGAATTCTGGGAGTTGAAATCCACAGGTTGTAAAAGAGCCACAGTTGCCCACCCCTGCACTAGGCTATTGTAAGCATAAGCACAAACAATTTACTTTTTAACCCCCTCAAATACTTTGTTTAAAAGCAAGTAAAAAGATACTGTTTTGCTGATTTTTTTTTAATGTGGTAAACAATTAAACTGGTACTCATTTCATGAATCTAGGCTTAATTTAATCTGAATATCTATTTAAATGCACTAAGGGATTATTTACAAATACAGTAGGGTGTAGCTGACAGCTGAGTTGTTATAATATCATGGCTTGCCCATACATATTCTAATTTACTGTCTGGCAAAGGAGATATATATATATATAATAGTTTCATATAAAATTAAAGATCTATAGGAATTCTCCTTTGGTGGGGCTCTTTCTCTTTTGGTGACTATTACATCAATTATTACTATAATAATTTTAAAGGAAAAATGAGTAGATACACTGGGAAATTCCAAGGGATGAAAGCTGCACTTGTTCTGATCATGAAGCTGGTGTTTCTCATGCTTCTTTACATGGTTGAATGTATTGGAATGTTGAGCTCTGCTACATTTTCATTTTGCTGCACAGTTAGGTAGCAGAAATTTTAGAGCTGTTTACATTCGCAACAGCTTTTGCATATCACCTACTTCTAATCTTTGCATCCCACCAAGCAACTGACCCAACCTGGCCTACATGGAAGGGGGAAAGAAGTATAGGAATCCATTAATAAGTGGCCTTTAACCAGATTTCAGGCAGAACTCCTCTGCCACTATGGCAGAAGGGGTTGAAATTCTGAAATTCAAAATTTAGCCATGCCAGTCATCAGATACCCTGTGGATATAGTAAGCTGGCCAAAAGAACTGGAAGGTGCCAATTAGAAGTATCTCTCAATGTACAGAGCTTTCCACCCCAAGTCCAACACAGACAGTGTACACAGAGTGTACACCAGATGGAAAAAGAGCAGGATTTGGTGTCAAAACCACTGTCCTGGATAAAATCCAGAGCATGCAGGAGTATATTAGTAAGATGGTACTCAAAGATTAGTTGCTGGGGGAATGTCTGAGGCAGAAGATGATATGGGAGGAAGGTCAAGTAGAGGCAAAACAAGATCCTGCATGGTGTAGGGCATGTCAAAATTTTCAACTTTCAATTTCCAAATATTAGGAGTGATCAAAAGTTGTGACATGCCTTGGAGATTGTAAATATATTTTGGTTACTTTAATATAATTTAGATGTGCTTGGTAAATAAATAACTGTCACTTTTTAACATTTTGTTTGTTTCATTTCACAGGTTCTTTTTGTTAAATGCTATTTTGTCTGAGAGTGTTAATACTGCTGGCCTTGTTTCCTGTGAGTGTGATAGCTGATCTATAATGGCTTCTAAAAAAAGGAACAAGACTGGGAATATTCACTCATATGAACAACCGAATTGGAACTGGCAGAGACTTGTTGCTGTCTGAACTCCCAACACTGCGAGATTCTCAGATATGGTCTACTGTTAAAGAGAACAAAGTAGTGATGATGCTAGAAATACAATATTAACAACAGACAGTTGAGCTGATTTTCATTGGGAAATTCTTCCAGTAGATAGAAAGGACTGAACTAAAAGACAACCTGAGGTATTGAACATAGCAGCAGGAGAGCAGGCATTAAGCACAAGAGCCATACAAGCAGGAATCTACCACACTAGACAGGACCTGCTGTTCAGTCTATCAAGAGAGGCCTCAAACAAAATCCAACACATAATGGAAGGATATAAGACGCAGGCAGGAAAAAGCATGCACTGAAAGGCACAACCAAGGAAGTAGGCATTGTATACAGGAACAGCTGTGGTGTATGGGCTAGAGGTGGCACACAGCGCCCTATCTGATGGCATGCGAGCTGTCACCCCAGTTCAGCTCCACTGTGCATGCGCGCCTGCCAGCTGGCTTTCGGGTCTCTGCTGCACATGCATGGGTTGCATGTGGAGGGCATGCATGCGGAGGGCACGCATGCGGGGGCCCATGCATGCGCATGTGGGCCCATATGTGGATGCGGGGGCCCACATGCGCATGTGGGGGCGCATGTGGGGCTGCAAGTGCATGCGCGGGGAGCTGGGGCACATGCAAGGGGGCCACATGTGCATGTGGGGGGGGGCACATGTGTGGGGGCTGCACACACATTGCATTTTGGGGATTCAGGTGCACATGCATGCATTTACAAGCGCACAAGCGCCCTGGACACTCAGTCCGGAAAAGATTAGCCATCACTTGGCTAGGCCCTCCCAAGTCCAGATGGGAGATTCCACAGAAGGTCATGAGGAATAAAAGAGCTAAGATCCTGTGGGACTTCCAGATTCAGGCACGGCAGTTCCTGACCATTCAAGCAGACATTTGGTAGAACACAAGGACCAGAAGACAACAGCAGTAATAGAGAGGAATTTCAACATCAGGGAGTATGAAAAAGTAGGAAACTATCAGGCCCTGAAGGAAGAACTAGAGAGGATGTAGAAAGTAAAGGCCAAAGTGGTGGTAGGAGCACTCGAAGCTGTGCATCCTAAAGTAGGAGAGTGGCTCCAACAGATCCCAGGATAACATCGGAGCGCTCTATCCAGAAGAGTGCAGTGCTACAAACAACTAAGAGACTGCGCAGATCCCTCCGACTCCAAGGGCCAGGCTACTCATAGAAGACTCCAGAATCAGGAAGACACAAACACAAAATATATATGGGAGAAGGGAATTTTGTTTACACTTTTACATACCCACACCCACTCTTCCCCCTAAACATATACAACATAATACACCTTTGTGTGGCTGCTAGGATTCAAAAAACAATTTGATGGCCTATAATTAACAGCAATAGCACTTAGACTTATATACTGCTTCACAACCCTAAGCGGTTTTACAGAGTGGCATATTGCCCCCCCCCCCCAATAATCTGAATCCTCGTTTTACCAACCTCAGAAGGCTGAGTCAATCTCGAACTGCCGAATTGCTGGCAGCCGGAAGTCAGCAGAAATAGCTTGCATTACTGCATTCTAAGCACTGCACCACTATGGCTGTTAATTAAACACACAAAGCTTTCTTTGCTGCCCCAAGTGGTTGTCCTGATTTTTTTTTCAGCCCTCACCCCCCCTCAAAAAAACCCCCATTCCTGAGAACTGCTTGAGTTACAGGATGCCCCCCTTGTGTCTCCCTGTCTCCCTCCCTCCCCCATCCTTCTTTCCTTCCTTTCCTCCCCCTCCCTTCCCTCCCCACTTCCCTCCCTCCCCCTTCCTTCCCTCCTCCTCCCCCTTTCTTCCTTCCTTCCCTCCTCCCCCTCCTCTCCCTTCCTTCCTTCCCTCCCTCCTTCCCCTCCTCCCTCCCCCTTTCCTTCCTTCCTTCCTTCCTTCCTTCAAAGCGCCCGGCGGCGAAGCTTCCAAAATCCGAAGCCGCGTCCGGAAGCCCCAGCCGCCAGCGCGAGCCTTTAACAGCTGAGCCAAATGCGCACGCGACCCCTCCCCTCCCCGGTGTCCATGACTGGGTTTTTACAGAGCGGAACTCTCTGGTTTAAATACAATGTAGAAGGGAGAAGCTGCTCCCTTCAACTTCAGAAGGGAAGCTGAGCGAACGTGCGGCAGCGTGAAGATCCCGCGCGTGCTCCTGAACTGAGCCTGCGCAGCTGGCTTCGGAATCAAGTCGAAGCCTGTGGGAGCGAGGGCCTTCGGAGCGAGCCAGGGTGTTGGTTGTGGAGGTCTTTCAGACTCTTAAAACCAAGGCGTCGCTACGGGACCAGGTGGGAAGACTGTTGGGAGTGGAGGGTTGGAAGTGCTGGACCTTGAGAAAACCCAAGCAAACGAAATTTGTAGATGGAAGCTGGCTTGGCTAAATATCCCCGCAGCCAGACACACCCACAGACCACAGACCAACCTCCCAAGTGTAGAACTGGCTTCTTTGCGGGAAGTCCTGGCTACAACGGTACAATTCGAAAAGTCCTCCTCGAAAACAAACGCCATTGACTTCAAATGGACTTGCTCTCAGATACAATGCAGGATTGCATAAGACAAGAGGCTTTCGAGATGGGGGGGGGGGGGAGAGTTCAGTTTTGTAGATCCCACTCGCAGCCTGTTACGAATTCCCCCACCTCAGTGAAGAAACTCAATTATAGTCGCCTAAATATTAGGTTAGTTTTATCATATGAATTCATTCCACAGTTTTTAGCGCAGCTGATTGTGCAAAGCCAGAAAATTAGTAAATGTGATGTAAACATGGCCGCATGGGGACATTCTCTTGTATTTTTGGCCAGAATTAAGCAAGTGCAGAGTGGGGTGATCTGAACCTGAAGAGGTTATTTTTTTAAAAAAACTCTTGTCTATCCTAAGCAAGAGGGAGTAGAAGATGAATCAGTTAAAAATCTGATGCACAGGATTTCTTTCATAAACATTATACACATAAATATAAAAATGTTACAAATACAGCTATAGAAATCATAGTACAGAATGAATGAACCTAATGCAGAAAGTTTAATCAGATTTTATTTAGGATTTCTTTTCCTTGTATTTTGTAATTTCTATATTACTGGGTTTTTTAAATTGTATTTGTCTAATTAATATAGCTGCCAATCTCACAAACAAGTGAGTCATTAATGGTGGCTCACATATGTATGTTCAGGTTAAGGTTACTGAGTGATCTACAGCTGTAGACTTTTAATAAATTTGTTGCATTGTTTTAATAAATAATTTCGAGTTCTTGGTGCTCTCTGAGCTTGGTTGTGCTTACAGACATTTTCATTACCCGACAAGGTAATGTCTACAAACAAACAGCCAAGCTCAGAGAGCATTAAAGACTTAACAATTTAATCCTGAACCATATACATTCTCTTCTATTGTTAAATGGTAATTAATATATTCACATGGAATTTTGTAGAAAACCTTTTCTTCCCTCTGTGGTCTGCTCATAGACTGCTGTGCTTACAAATGATGTAAATATGTTTTTTTCATTCAATATTGCCTTTCCTCTATACCAGGGCTGTCAAACTCGCGGGCCGTGGGCTGGATGCATCACACGTTGGCCAAGCCCACACCCGGTTTAGCGAAGGGGAAAAAAGTTGGGATACGTCACGTGAGTTTGAAACCCCTCTTCTATACTAACCAAACCCCCTTCCCAATGGCAAATCAGTCATGTTTTATAGCATAGCATACTATGGTAGTAGAGTAATAGAGTATGTATGTATGTATAGACTTTTAATGGGAATATTCAATACAAGTATTGAATATATCAAAAGGAGAGAACTAAAATTTCTGAACTATAGTTGGATTGAACTCGTAGTGCTGAAAAAATAAAAGGAATTATTTGAAGGAAATTTGGATTTTTTAAAAATCAGACTTTAGAGTTGAGGTGGGCTTCAAATCTTTTTGATTACTATCAAAAAGGTATTACTATCTTCTGGCGTTCCTCTATTATAGTTCCACTATTACAAGCTGTAATAGTGGCTTATAGGAGCTACTGCTTATTATTATAGATCAGTGATGGTTAACATTTTTGGTGCTGAGTGCCTAAAGCGTGCGGATGCGCAAATGCACACGTGTGTGCCTGAACCCCCAAAATGCAATGCGAGCGCCCTTTTGTGCATGCACCCAGCTCCCCTGTGCCCTGTTTTGGCTTCCAGGTTGATGCAGGAGGCTTTCCAGGCCCAAAATGGGGCACTGGGAGGTCTCTGCACCCCATTTTGGCTTCCATTTTGGTGCAGGAGATCCCTGCGCCCTGTTTTAGGCCTGGAAAGCCGCCTGCACCAACCTGGAAGTCAAAATGGGGCACGGGGGGCTGCGCGAGGTCCCCCGTGCCTGTTTTGGGCCTTGAAAGCCTGCATCAATTTGGAAGCCAAAACTGGGTGTGGGAGTGCCTGCACCCCCCTGCATTTGGCCCACCCCCCCATGCATGTGCGCATGTGTCCCCCACATGCGACCCGCCCCCCGTGGATGCACGGCAGAGACCTCAAGACCAACTGGCCGGTGGGAGGCACACGCGCATGCATGGTGGAGCTGGACTGGGGTGACGGCTGGTGTGCCCGCAGAGAGGGCTTTGTGAGCCTCTTGTGGCACGTGTGCCATAGGTTTGCCATCACGGGTATAGATAGTTCTTGGTTAACAATGGTAATTGGGATGAGAATTTCCATTGCTAAGCAATATGGTTGTAACTTATTGATGGCAATCCTGGCACTTCTCGTTCCCATTGTTAAGTGAAGAAAATGGATTATTAGGTGAGTTCGAGGCAGCTTGCAAGCAGACTAGCAACAGAGCTGTTACCAGCTATGGGCAGGTGTGCAGTTGGTTGTTGTGAGAATGGAAGGGCTGGGTGTGACTTTACTGGGTGACCTGTGACCATCCTTGCTGACTTCTCTGCTGACTTTGCTTGTGGAAAGTCAGCAGAGAAGAATGGAAGTGGTCAGTGATTTTGGGATGCTGCAATTATCATGTGAGCTGGTTGCCAAGCACACAGATCATTTCATATGAATGCAGGGCAGACTGTATTTCAAGGACCAGTTCTAAATACCATTCGTTTAGCCCCATTTGTAACTTTGAATAGTTTTTGAATGAGTGTTTGTTAAATTAAGACTATTGCTTCTTGACCACAAGTAAAGTTCTATGGCATTTTTGGTTCTGCTATCATAGGAAATACTATTTTTTTGTCTTTTTCATTTTGTCAGTGTAAACATGACAGATCAAGAACAGCGAATGAACTCACTGAAGAAAGAAGTGCGGTCACTGTTGACACCTATCAAAGAAGGTCTTACCCCTTACCAATTAGAACAAGAATACAAGATTATGATAGGAAAAATGCTTCCACTGCGTATGTTGGGTTACCATTCTGTTATGGAACTAGTGAAGGACATGCCTGATACTGTTAACATATCTCCAAAAGGAGATGGTACTGTTATTCTCAAAGGTGGGTTTGATGGCAAAAGTAATGTTTAAAAAGTATGTGGATATTTTTAAATATGTACAGTCTTTTAAACTTGTGATATCTTGCAAGCCTTGGTCATTATGACCAGCAAACAGAAGCAGGGTTCTTACCAAACTATGTTGTGCATCTAATAGATTGAAAATAGTTTGTATTTTCCTTTACACTTTTTTAAAATCATGATTTTATCTTCAGCTAACAAGGGCTTTCAGAGCAGTCCAAAATCTGAAACATGAATTGTAAAGGTCAAAAGCCCAAAAAGGTGGGAGAGAAAATTGCAAATGAAACACAGTAGAAAGCTGTGGGAGTGTTTGTTTTAAAAAGTTCAATAATGCTAGACTTAAGAGTGGGAGATTATGACCTGTAACAATTAGAAAAATATCTCTGCCTGCAGAATGCAAACTGTAGGGATTAGTACTGTGATAATAAACATTGTTTTTTTCTGTCTTTCAGCTATTGCTGATGAATCTACCAAAAGGATTGCAAGCTTGGTTGCCAGACAAAAGAGCAGATCTAAGCCACAACATTCCAAACATAACCTGAATTTCTCTTTGCCTTCCACCTTTTGCTCTCAAGTGCCTTTGCACCACCAACATTCTCTAAATTTGCCTCGGCATGGGGGAGGTCCTCCTATTCTGCCCCCTGTTATAAAAAGTGAGCTGAAGGAAATGCTCAGATTTTCCCCAGTTTTGCTCTCAGATTTTGACAAAGCCTTTGCCCAACACTTTGGACGCAAATTTGAATTCGTGCGTTATGGATTCTTCTCCATGTTTGAAGTGCTGAATGCAGCTTCGGATATTATTCAAATTGTGCAAACAAGAGCAGGCTCTCTGTTGACGTTAAAAGAACACCCTCTTACGAAGCAACCAGAAATGTCAGAGTGTAAGACAGTGTTTGTTTATATTCAACTGAAATGTGAATGTTTATATTCAACTGGAAAATATTTATCTCACTTTGCATACAAAGACTTTGAGAATTGCTGGAAAATATATACTGTAGTAATTGAAGCTGTGGTGGTGTTTTACCTTCTGAGAGCATGTACTGTCTTTGAGATGATAAATACAAGCACTTTTGGCTGTACCTGGAGGAGAAATAGTAATAGTAGAATTGCTCAGTGCTTCTTTAGGTTGAAGCTTACATCAGCTGGCTGGATTCATAGTAGGAAGATTAATTTACTGAGGTTAAGACAAAGAAAGCTATATCTGTTACAATAGTCTTTGTTGGGAGGTTGGTTGGTTAGATTTATGCATATCATTACAGGTTATATATATTGATACAGACATGAATCTGCATATGTTCATTGTCCCAACTGCTCTTCTGGTGAAATATTGAAATTTTTGCTGCTTAGAACTTTAATATTGACTGGCTTGAAATTGAAAATGGAGTTACGTGTAATTACTGCTGACATTTTTATCCTGGCTTTCTTAAGGCAAAATGGCAGTCCAGTCATGTGAAACAGAGCAAACTTTGCCTGTTGCTGTACCAGAACCTGTGGCAGAGATGCCTTCTCCAGTTCTGCCTATGGATGTTCTGTGTTCAACCACAGACCAGAAATCTGATGATTTGCAAACACATATGAAACTAGTTGAAAGTCCAAAAGTGAGAACTGAGGTGAGGATAGGACAAGTAAGAAGTAAATGTATTATACCCTAGAGATGACTGAAATGAAGGATGCATTTAGATCATAGAAATTCTCTGGCATGGAATACCTTTTCATTTTATGCAGCCAACATCAGAAACTGACTCTGATATCAATTTTAAATATTACTCTCAGCCAAAATAATATTCTACACATACCCACATATATATAACTTTCCAATGCAGCTATAATTCAAATGAACAAGTCCCACTCTTGATTTATAATATAATATGAGCCTCAGTGGCACAGTGGTTAGAATGCAGTACCGCAGGCTACTTCTGCTGACTACTGGTTGCCTGCAATTTGGCAGTTCAAATCTCACTAGGCTCAAGGTCGACTCAGCCTTCCATCCTTCTGAGGTTGGTAAAATGAGGACCCAGATTGTTGGGGGCAATAGGCTGACTCTAAACGCTTACAGAGGGCTGTAAAGCACTGTGAAGTGGTTTATAAGTCTGAGTGCTATTGCTATTGTTCATCTTCCATAAATCAAGCAGATTAATGCAATTAATATAAGAAATATTTATCCATTCATTCCTATATATCAGTATCTCTTATGTTTTATTTGAATTGGCCATTTAAAAATTGTGAAAACATCACTTTGGCCGAGAAATTGATTCAATGAAGAATCCCTTCCCCTAAACTCCAATCCCTATCATTAGGGGAAAAAAATATTTTAAATGGTCTTAGTGGGTATTTCCAGATATTTGGGACCTTGCTGCATGTACTGCTGGCTTAAGTTCTGCCAGTATGTTATCTTTGAAGATATATGACCATTGACCATTGACTTCAAATTGGTATCAGTAGTGGAAAAGCTGTGGTGCTGTTTCTGATGCTGAATTACAGCTTTAGCATCATTCACCTTCATCCATGGGGTTCTGGAAGTTGTAAAGTACATTTAATCTGTGAAGATTAAATAGCTAATTAAGGTAATGTGAGAATCCTTATGGACATTGGATTATCTATCTTCAAACATCCTTGCACAGTATAAGAAGTTTAAATCCTATCTTTTTAAGCAATCAAGTAAAGTTCTGGGGTGCCACACAATATTCAGAGAATAATTCTGTTTTCTAATTATTCTTGGGCTAAAAGGTAGGAGGAATTACTAGTTTAGCTTTCAACATTTATTTCTGCTTTATTACAAACATGTTCACCTTTTTGTATGATAAGTTTATTCTGGGCAGCTTACAAAAAGAAACGAGAAATATATAACCAACTATTTAATATAAAAATTTAAAATAATTCTTGAGAAAGACAATACTAAAGTAAATGGATGTTGAAATAACCTTATATATACCAATCTCATTTGAGTAAGCTCTTCTCTTGAAACTTCAGCCTAATCTACATATGCATCTAACTAATCTACATTTGATTAATACAAATAATATGAGTTTACTTTTCTATTATTATCTCACATAAAAATAGTTTAAAAAAAAACTACTAAAATGCTTGAAAAGAAAATTCCTTTCTCCCTGCTTATCACTACAATCCAAAAGTTGTACCTTCCGGTTCCTCTCTCATCCAACAAATGCTATTACTAATTAACTAGTTACTGATTTATATAACTATTTAACTTTCTTTGTATAGAAAGCATCTAAATTATAACAAAGATCCAAATCTTTAATTTACATCAGGTATTTCTTAGCCAAGTCTCTTAATTAAAAATTCCTCTCAGGGGTCTGCTTCTAAATATTTGATTTCTGTTATATAGAGTCCTGGGAAATTAATCTATCAGACGGGTTTTTTCTTGATTTACTTTTGAATATAAGATTCTTTGCCATCAATGAAAATGTTAGGAACCAAGAAACACTATACTCCATTAACTTTAAACAGAAAACATCTTGTTACTTAATGATGAATGTTTAGCATTGAATGAGACTTCCCTGTTTCTTGACTGCTGCTGACAATTGGGGAAGATATTCGTTTCTTTTCTGTTCTGCTTTTGATCTCTTGGAATCCTCTCTTGGAATCCTCTGGCTAGCCACAATGCTAAATGCAGTAGCATGATAGGAAGATTTTAAATCCAATTCTAGCATTTACTTCGATTTTAGATTAGTGCATAAGTATATTTATTTGTACTTCCTTTCACCCTGGATAACTCACTTTTTCACCTCAAAGCTCAAGAAAGAAATTAAGATTGCCCTGGCCCAAAGAGGACCTGGAGGAATAGTCAGCTCAGAACTTAAAGAAAAAATTAAAATTGTAAGTACTGTATTCTGTTTGGCTGTAGTTTATATTTTGAGGATAACAACCCAGAGAACATAGGTAGGATCCATTCAGTGATAAAGTGAAATGCTTTGAACTTAGTGGGGAAAAAAAATAACATTGCTACCCACCAGCTTTTGCATAAACTTTTGTGGACCTACCAAAACTACCTGGGTGGGGAAAGAAACTCACACATATTTCTCTGCCTTCACTTCCTACCTATCACTAAAAGGATATTGAATTCCTACATACAATAGTATTGATTGGGATACAAACAATATTTGTTTGGAAATTCTCATAATGTGAATTTCCTCAAATCTTTGTTTAACAAAATCCAACATTTTTTTAAAAAAACTATTATTTTTTAAATCTTCTATAAAATTTTAATATTTTTAATTATATATAACAAAAGATTTCTTTTGTTATATATAATTCTCTGATGTATTTTTTAACAAAATTGAAATTTCCTTACTATCAGTAAATAGCCCTTTTAAGATATAACTTTTAACAGATATCTTTTTGGATATATATTTCATACATTGGTTTATTTTGTTTAGCTTTTTTAAGCAAGTCTTGGTTCAGTTTCATCATCTAGGATAGCTCTTACATTTGCTCTTTGGATCTCACATATCTTTTACATAGAAATCATATATGAGTTCTGGAAATTTCTATAGAGCATTTTGAACACAAGAATGCCCTTCCCAATTTTTAAACCTGGTGAAAGTGCATCAGGACTTGCAATATTATTTGTACTACCAGGAAGCTGAGATTTCCCTCTCCTTCCTTTATTCTTAGGAACTATAATTTGGTTTGCATTTACCTCCAACTGAAATTAGGATTCAAAGAATATCAAGATTAGTGCAAAACTACCTAGTTTTCTTGTTTATACTTCAATCAAAGTAATAAAAATGATATTTGCAAAAACACAGAGTAGACAAATGTCATATTGCTGTGGTCAAAGTATAGAAGTTTTGTTTGAGAATAAAGTATTGAAATATTTTGTAAATATTTAGATAACATATCAATATTGTTATAATCAATATAATATATACAACAATGTGAAATCACAACTGCCAGTTCCTTAACTTGTATTGCCCTTCATATGCATCCAATTCTTCCCAAGAACCTAGGATATTGCCATATATCAGGTTAGTGTATGTGTGGATTGAAGCAGTGTGGCATTTTGTAATTGACAGAAATTTTGTCAATGCATTAATTTTCTAAGATTTTTTTTGGTATAGCCCCAGTGCCAATAACCACTGGGACTACCATGGCAGACTTATGCCACAACCCATAACAGTATTATTATGATAAGTTGCACAGTCAGCCAGATATTTAGACTGAATTTGGCATTTTTATCCACCTATTGAATCTTTCTTAAGCACCTGGGTCAAGGAGATGTTGTTTGATGGGATTAAAGGTATCATTATGGGCTGTAAACTGTTCCAAATAAATTATCATCATCATTATTTATATCTTTTATTTGTACAGCTCAAAGCATCATACATAATGCTCTCATCCTCTACTTTTCCCCACAATAGCAAACTTTGTTAGATACGTTTTTTACTGTTTGGGCCAAAGTTGTAAATAAGCTTAACAATCACTCTGTGATTTCTTTTTAAGATTGTAGCCCAGCACCCAAATGGCCTCCATGCTTCCAAGTTACCTGGAGAATTTGAGGTAGTGATTGTTTATTCAGATTTACTTGTGTTTACTGCCTTTTCCACTTGAAAGTGTTCTCTTTTTCTCACTCTATACAACAACTGTTGAAACAAATAGTATACTCTAGACCAGCGATTCTCAACCTGGGGGTCGCGACCCCTTTGGGGGTCGAACGGCCATTTCACAGGGGTCGCCAAAGCCCTCTCTCGCCCCCCCCTCACGCCTTCACTCATCCTCACCCTCTGCCTCTGTTGGATCGCCCAGTCGCCGTTTGCTTACTCCACCCACTCCCAATCTATTGCTGCCTCCAGAGTCCCAGCTGATGGCTAGAGGGAAAAAAACTTTAAATTCTTGCCGCGGGGTTTCAAAGAGCTAGCTGCAAAGAGGTAAATTCCTGGAGCAAAATTTTTTCCCCCTAGCTATGCTGAAAAAGCGAAATTGAAAGTAAGGAAGCAGGGTCTTTGCTGCAACGTGACAAAATCAGGCAGAGAGATTTCTTTTTCTTTTTCCTCACCAAAAAAGGTAGGTGCAAGACTGCAAACAATGGGAAATTTAGGGCAAAAGAGGAGGTTCAAGATTTTAAAACACAAAAGAAAAAAAGCTCTATTTAACTAGGGAATTGTAATAATTGAGATACTATTAATTGTATATTGTGTTGAAAGCAGAAATGGTTAAGTTGTGGTTTGGAGGAATATATGGGGGAAATTATTTGGTTTATTATTATTGGTAAATATAATTAATTGATTTGTAGGAAATTGGATTGCATGGAAATAATTGGAATATTCATGTACATATTGATTAATATACAAAAAGATAGTTATATAACTAATTGATTTATATTAAAATGTTGAATTTGTATTAAACTGTATTACATAATTACATAATTAACCAATGTGAGGATGGATATAAAAATAGATGACAATGCAAAGGGGTATAATATAGAAGGGAAAAATTGAATTTGATTAAGATTAGAGATGAGGATGAAGGGTAATATTGGTTTTTTTAAAAAATAGATGAGGAATAAATATGGTAAAAAGGAAATATAGAAATTGTAAATTTAATTGAAATGACTAAACACTGTGTTGGAAGAAATATCCTTCTGGGTTCTGCTCCAAGTGGGGAAAAAGACACTGGAAACATGGAGACTGCTTGGAAAGATGGTTTAATGGTGGACAGGATCACATGGCTTGAGTTCCTGAACAGAAAAGGGGCAGATACAGTAAATCCTTGGGTTTTTATGCTCTCTCTCGCTTTGTATTTCTTGGGGCCCCGAAAGAGTATCCTGATTGGTTGTCAGACTCCCAGGGGGTGGGGGTCTTAGCTAGCCTTGCTGGCTGATGGTCACATGTACTTCCCAGGTCACGGGTGGTGAGTTTCGGTTGCTAGATGGGGCCCATTGTGTTAGTTTCTGTTGCTATTGTGTTGCAAATGTCCTTTGACAAAGGATTGACTTTCTGCCTCTGGCCCATTAACAAAGGGTGGGGGGCAGGAAAGAGGGAGCTGCTTTGTCTGTAAAATATGCTTCTCCATTTCTCATCCAGGGAAATATATTCTGCCTTTTTAATATTTCCTAAAATATTTCATTCTTTTAGGAAAGGGGTGGGTGCTAACCTCCTACAACTGTTTAAATTTGTGAACCGGCCAAATACTCTGTTCAAAGAAAATATGTTGTATGTTGTATGTGTGTTTCAAATTATTGCTATTTATTCCTATTTGTTCTCTTTTATTCTTTAAAGTTTAACAATTCATTCTTTATCTTAATATCTTTATATTTGTTTGGGGTTGGCTTTCTTCCCTTTCATCTTTTTTATTGTACAGCAATTTTTCTCCTCAAACCTACCACCTCTGTCTTTTCTTTCTTTCTTACTTTCTCTTCCCCCCCTCTTCTACTCCCTACTTCATTTTTCTTTCTCCTTCTCCTCCTCTCTTCCTCCCTCTCTTACCCTCACTCCTACTCTAATTTCCCTTCCCTTCCTTCATCCCTCTCTATTGCTGTATCCTTTTATGCATATGGACTACCCAAAGGGCTGAAAAAGTTATTTTTGACTGGTCCTCGCACTTTTGACCAGTCCTTGAACTTACAACTGTCCTCACAATTTATGTATTTGCGCTATCTTGTCACCATGGTGAAGAGAAGCAGTTGTGAAATGAGTGACACGGTTGTTAAGAATGGTACAATGGGCATAAATGATGACCAGTCATAACTGCGAAGACCGGTCAGAAGTGCGAGGACCTGTCAGAAATCACATTTTTCAGCCCTCTGGGTAGTCCTTTTGTGCACAGGGACTACTCAGAGGGCTGAAAAAATTATTTTTGACTGGTCCTCGCACTTTTGACCAGTCCTCGAATTTACGGCTGTCCTCACATTTTACGTTTTTTGCCCTATCTTATACCATGTTGAAGAGAAGCAGTTGTGAAATGAGTGACATGGTTATTAAGAATGCTGCACAGGCATAAATGTGAGGATGGTCATAAGTGTGAGGACCAGTCAAAAGTCCGAGGACCTGTCAGAAATGACTTTTTTCAGCCCTCTGAGTAGTCCCTATACACATAGCCATGGTCACCCGGTCACATGACCAGCTAGCCATGCCCACCCAGTCACATGACCTCCAAGCCACACCCACAAAATAAGCCACGCCCACAGAACCGGTAGTAAAAAAATTTAGAACCCACCCCTGGTTGGGGGTCACCACAACATGAGGAACTGTATTAAAGGGTCGCGGCATTAGGAAGGTTGAGAACCACTGCTCTAGACTAAAGAAGTGCAATGTTTAACCCCACTGCATGGATTTCTAGTATAAAAAAACAGTTAATACATACCATGTCTTGATAGTGTACATGCAGATAATGCCAGGTGCAGAGACACTGAGCCTCATAATTCTTGGTTTCATATAGTTCTTCCTTTACGTTGTGAATTTTTATGTGGAAATGTTGTAGCAATAGTAATAGCAAAGTAGGTTTCTTATTCAGATGTCACTTTAGATCTGGTTTGCAAATTCATTTTATAATGTTAGCTAAGTTGACTAATTTCTCATTTAACCATTCTTGCAAATTTAGCCATGGATTTCTATTTTGATTTCTAAGATTTTTTTTTTTTTGTTTTATCTAGGAGTATTTTCATGAAAAAATGGCAGTAAGAAAGCTGGGATTCTTAAATTTGATGGAACTTATTGGTGCCCTTAATGATGTTCTCCGTATTGAATGCAGAGAAGGAGAAAAAGATTGGCTCATCTTTGACATTGATTCACAAAGCTTACCAGATGGTAAGTGGAAATCCTAGGTGCACAAATCTTCCAGAAAAATGGGCCCCTTTAGAGGTAATCCCTGAGCATTCCCTTAGCGAACGTTCGAAGTTATGCGATTAGTGCCCCCTAGCGTTTCCGAACAAGGTCCAAAACTACGAATCTTGCAACACCACGGCAGTTGTTTGCCCTTACGAACAACTGCAGAGGCTCTGCAACATTCGTCCTGCAGTTGCCAGCTGAAATGGAGCTTTTGAGGGGTGGATTTGCCCCTCAGAAGCCCTGTTCGGGCATCCAGAGGCCTTCCCCGGCACCTTGCCGGTCGAAATGGAGCTGCTCAGGGGCAGATCCGCCTCTCAGAAGCCCCATTTGGCCATCCAGAGGCCTTGGCCGGCACCTTGCTGGCTGAAATGGAGCTTCTGAGTGGCGGATCCAGCTCTCAGAAGTCCTGTTCAGCCCTCCGTGGACCTCCCCCAGCCGGTTGCAGGCTGAAATGGAGCCTCCAGGGGCTGGATCCAGATCTGGCCCTGGGAAGCTTCATTTCGGCCTGCAACGGGCCAGATGTGGTCCGTGGAGAGCCAAACGGAGCATTGGAGGGGCGCACGACACTAAAGAGGAGACTGCTTGCTAGATCTTCACAAGGTAAGTGACCCAGCGCAGCAGGTTGAGGTGGTGGTGGTAGTGGGGAAAGCAATTTGGGCCATTTCAGTGGGTTGGGGAGGCCTTGGGTTGTCTTAGGCAGGTGGCCTGTTTCATTGGTAGGCCCCTCATGGCCTTCCCCACCCTGAAATACTTCATGTGCACTTAACGAACCTCGCATTCGATTAATGAATGTGTGGGCGAAAGAAGAGAGTGATTTTCACACTCACGAATCCTCGGGTTATGAATGGAATGGGCAGGCTCCATTACATTTGTAACTTGAGGAATATCTGTACTTAATTTAATTAAATAGATTTATAATTAAGTATTTGCAATGTAATGAATAAAATGTATATTTGCATTTTTATGGTATAAATGCAGTTTTTCCAATTACTAAAGAACTTATATTGAATTATGGTTTCAGTATGCCATTAAATTGCTTCTAGAAACTTGGATTAGTGACTGTTTTCGGCACACAGTATGTTGTGTATATGTTTACAATGGGAAGTTGCAACATGTATCCATTTGTTCTCTTGAAAAAAAAAGTAGTTCTAGCATGGACCTCTACATTATTATACAAGTAGTAAAGTATATTTATTTATTTGGAAATGTTATATTGCCATCTACTTGGTCATAGTGACTCAAGGCTGCTTACAGAAAATAAAAACACAACATAAAAGAAATAAAAATAATAAAACAATAGCCCCCCCACTCCTGTGACAACACACACTCATACCAGCCATTTAATGGGCTCCATCCCGCTCTGGGCCTGCTGGCAGAACCACGTCTTAAGGGCCTTCTGAAAGATTTTCAAAGTGGGGGCCAGTCTAATTTCTGGAGATAGGATGTTCCAAGGGAAAGAGAAGACCCTTCTGCTCCTGCCAGATGTATCTCCTTAGGGGATGAGACCTGCAACATTCCTTGCCTCCCCACTCCAATGGGTCGGATGGATATGACTGCAAGAGACGGTCCCTCAGATAACCTGGTCTCAAGCCATGAAAGGTTTTAAAGGTGACAAGGGTTTTGTGATATTTATTATACAGGCTTTGTGACATTTATTTAATATTGGAGGAGGTGTGATCGAATGTGGTAAAGATATGGCTTCTTTTGAATAATCTATCATCTCCGAGATTCACTGTTAACTTTACAGAAACAAACAGGGATGAGGTCATCTAGATATTGCTAAATATAACTGAAAGTACCCTTCATTGGCCAGAATGCTGGGAATATGAGAAGATAATGTGTGAATGGGATATCAAATCACCATTCAATCATTTGGTGAGAGCACGATACAGTGACACTAGATATATCAAACTTCCCTCTGAATAGTACACAATAGTTATAATAAATTACATGGTTTTAATGATAAAACTTAGAATTTTATTGTTTTTGTTCTAGCCTAAAATGCTTGCTCTGTTTGGGATAATCATCATCATTTGATGTTCTGCAAAGGATAGTTTACATAAGATGCAAATTTGAATTTAAAAAAATAAAGGTCTATTCTTCCTGCAGAAGATAAAGCACAGTAGAGTCCTAATAAATGCTATGTGAAGACACTTGACAGAAGGCTTATTTTTACACTTAAATGTCCGTGCATATGATATTGCTCTAGTTGCGTAGTCTACTTCAGGATACTGAATAGAGATGAAACATGAATCAATGCTAGTTATAGCTTGTATTTCTGTCTTTCACTAAAATCAGACAAGTTAGGTGTAATAAAGTTTGGATATGAGACTCAAATTTTAAAGCTTTAGTAGCTCAATGCAAATAATGTTATGGTTTTATGCTTTACAGTTTTTATAGTTCAGGTTTGTTTATTGTTGTTATGAGCCACACAGAGTTGTGTTTTAAGAAGGGCTACCAACAAATAATTAAAAAACTAAATAACATCCCCCAGTTATGACTTAACATGGCTTTTTCGGGGGTAGGTAAAAATCAAGAGGCTTTTTTTCTCTGTTCTGCATTTACGAATGCAAAGAGCAGTCACGGGCATGAGTTTCACTAGAAAACCACTGCAAGAATTTGGAGCGTATCTCCCACTGAATTTTCTCTAAAATTAAAACAGCCAGATTAAGCAGTGTTGTTTAAATGTATAATTTATAACCAGGTTCTTTATATTTATTGTACAGCATTCCTGAATATAAAATTTTCCTTATTTTTGTATGAAAATTTCTGTGTGTTTTAATATAAATCTGTATTGTTCCTACAGATGAACAAACAAATGGTAAGATTTCTCAGTCTGGTCTATTAGCACAGCAGGAGGCCTCTGAAGAGCACGAAGTGCCCTCTTGGGATTCCCCGTTTGAGGATTCTAAGAAACTGGAGATTAAGTTCAATGTAGTAACAAAGATGGTGATGCCGGTACGATGACACAATAATAATAATACAAAATTATTTAGTAAAAGAGCATTTAACTTTAAATAAGTGCAATAAAATCAAAGTTGCATAGAGCAATAACAGCAATAAAATCCAAGAAAAGGCCGAGAAAATAAAAATGGCTTTGACTAACTTCAAAGTGATAATGATGGGGGTACCAGATAAATTTCTGGGAAAGTATTTACTATGTGAGCACCACCACTTACAATATCAATTGCTGTACCCATTGCCACTCAGTGGGGCTTCTAAAGAAAAACTCAAGGTCTAGTATTCATTTCTACAGAGAAGTAATCTTTTGGTACTCTGTACTAGAGATGAAGGTCAAAAATGAGAAAAAGAAGGATGTTAAATTGGTTCCAAAATGGAATGGGAGCTATTGAAGTACCGGTACAGCATATTCATATCTTTCAATTCTATTTAGTAGTCTCAACCATATTTTTTAATAATATGATATTGCTAATGCACTTCCAAAGGCCATGTGTAGTCCAAATGAGAATGTATTAAAACATTAGCTGAAGCCAGTCTACAATCTGTCCTAGGATGTTTACATGTATATGTCATAGATTAGATGTTTTTAGCTGGGAAAAAAATGCTATAGCTTACAGAGGCTATTTGTTTTCTAAGAGACAAAAATGAATCATGAAAATTATCAGACTCTGAATCTGATCCTTCAGGGAGAATGCATTTTATCTATAACTGATAGAGCTTTATTGATATGGACAACCAACTGTTGCAAGGTCCTTAACCTTAATCCATGTTGAATAGCTTTTTTAGTCTCATAAAATCCATTACTATTTCCATGTACTAATTTAGCTTATTCAGTAATTAAATTAGATAAAAGGTAATAGAATTGACTGTTAGACTAATGATAATTTAACTCCAAATCAGTTCATACTTCCAAGATCCCTAAACATATCTCTTGGAAAAAATGAACAATGTCTCAGCATCCCTTCTTCAATTTACAACTGAAATAATGGAATCCCTGAAAAATTCTGAGAACCGAACTTCTCCAATGGATTTTCCAAAATACATCCGTGTATTCCAGAGAAGAGAGGATGAATCAATAAGACTTGAGTTCCCACATTTTCCTGTCAAAAATTATTTTAGGAAATGTGCAAAATTGAACCTAAACCCTGATTGAAAAGTGAAAAAAAGTTTCATTTAACAATACTTGAAATTGATTGGCACCCACGAGTAACCAATAATTAATTCTATTGCTTCCTTGAAAAAATGTGGGATAATGTTGGTGTGAAGAGTTTTTAGATATTAAGATTCTCATACCTTTCAAGATGTATATTCTTCCACTAATTTATGCAGATTTTTAAATTTGTTCATGCTATTATGTGCAGTTCTTTCTATTTATTAAGTGATATATAAAATGAAGGTGGGAGATGTGGAGAAACTGTAGGGATATCTTTTTGCAAATTATATTCAAGTTACAAAAATAGGACAGGCAATACTATATTACACTGGAGACAAACTCCTTGTGTGTCTAATCCAGGGGTCTGCAACCTTAAACGCTCAAAGAGCCATTTGGACCCGTTTCCCACAAAAAAGAAAACACCGGGAGCCACAAAACCTGGATGGGCATGGCCAACTCGATGTCACTCACTCCCACCCAGTTACATGACCCCTCCCAGCCACGCCTACCCAGGTTTCTCTCTCATCTCTCTCACACTCTTTCTCATATCTCTCTTTCTTCTCTTCCTCTTCCTCTCATCTCTCTCTCCCTCTCATCTCTCTCATCTGTGTCTCTTGCTCTCTCATCTCTCTCTTTCTCCCTCTCCCTCTGTCTCTTTCTCTCTCTCATCTCTCATCTCTCTTTCTCCCATTCCCTTTCCCTTTCTCTTCTTCCTCGTTCTCTCATCTCTCTCCCTCTCATCTCTCTCTTTCTCTCTCTCTCATCTCTCCCTCTCCCTCTTTCTCTCTCATCTCTCACTGTCTGTCTGTCTCTCTCTCTCCCATCTCTCTCTCTTTCTTTCTCATCTCTCTCTTTCATGTGTGTGTGTGTATGTTCCCTCTTGAACCATTTCCAAAAACAGGCGAAGGTTGTTTTTTTTGTTTTTGTTTTGCTGATGTTGTTGTTGTTGTTCTTTTTTTTTATTGAAAATTTTTTTCAAATACAGATTTCCCCCCCTTTTTTTCCTCTCCTCCTCCCTAACCCCCCCTCACCCTCCCCACCCCCCATGGCTTCTCCAAAAATAAAATCCAAATTGATATCAAATTATATAATACTTTACCATCCTTTTACACCCCCCACATGCTAACCATTTCTTTCTAACATTGTTATTATATCCCCCCTATACTATACATTTCAAAGCAACCTTCAGCTATAAAACTATATAATAAATCCTAATTTGACATTTATTCAACTCATAATCTACCCATTTCCTCCACCCCCATACATATATCTCTTAATTCAAATCTTTTGCGTATATTTATATCTAAACATAACATCCCTTTTCCTAAAGTAAACAATCAGTAACCTAACCCATCTCCACCCATTTTCCTACAGGTCTACCATACATAATATTTTTAATATCTTTGTTCTTCTGCCCACACCACACAATTAAAAAATATTTCCATACATAAATAAAATCCTCAAATGACTTTAAATTTGTAATCCATATAGTATCTTCTTGTAATGTCTTTCAACTAGATTATTAATTCCATCGCCCATGTTAGGGTAACATCAGGTTCAGCTTCCAACAGTATATTCAGTATCTTCCATTACCATCTGCCCCCATCAATAGTAAGCATTTTCATATATAAAAAACCACCCGAGTGACTTTATATTTATATTCCATATAGTATCTTCTGTAGTGTCTTTTATCTAGATTATTAATTCTAACCACCACATTGGGGTAACAACCAGATCTTCTGCATGCCCCAATCCCATAGTTCTCTTGCCTTATAACTCAGCATATACGTAATCCATTTTTCAAAGAGTCCAAAATAGAAAGTTCCAATCCACTCAATCAGAGGCCATCTTCCACATCCCAAAAGCACCAGCACTGCAGAGATCTGTTATTCTTCTCAAAATAGTATAAGTCATTAATTTGCCTCAATTATATTTTCATGTATCAGCCATTTATAAATCCCACTTATTATATTTAATCGTCTCTTAAGTAACTGGCATTAGACTGTTGTTTGGTTTAAAATTTTTTAGTTTTGTAGGACCTGCTTCTTCTTTTCTTAACTTTTTGTGGTTTAGATCTCCATCCTAGTTGCCTTTCTAGGACTTGTATATCAGCTGATTGAGTTCCATGCTGGTCTGTAACTTGATAAGACATCTCATTAAAATCCAAAGCCGCCTCTCTTATATTTATAGGTAATCCAGCTATAACCTCTGAAGGAGAATCCAAAAGTGGCTCGTCCAAAAGGGTCTCTGTAACTTGTTGTTTTTCCATTACCTCCATCTCCATCTGCTTAGCCTGAGTTTCAATCTCTTGTTCATTTTGCTTTTCTTTATTCCCTTCCTGTGTACGTGGAGATGTTGGATCCATTTTAAAAACCTTGTAGTAAAATTCTTCCGCTTTTTCAACAGTATTTAGTTGATATCTTTCTCCTTGGTATCTCAATATTATACCAACTGGAGCATCCCACCTAAATGGGATGTTTTGTTTCTTTAGCTCAGTCCAAAAATCCAAATTCCTTTCTATCTTTTAACATCTTGGACGGCAGCTCTTTATATATCCAAATCTTCCTTCCATTCACTTCTAGAGTGGAGTTAAAAGACTTTTGCACAATATCATTTCTTATTCCTTTATCAGTAAAGTAAATCACCACATCTCTAGGCAACTGCCTTTGCTTTGCAACCCAAGAATTTACTCTGTAGGCCTTATCAATCTTACAGGATACCTCTTCAGGACTAACCTTTAAAATCACAGCCAGAACTTCAGCAGACATCTTTCTCAAGTCCTCTCTGTTATTTTCCTGTATTCCCCTCATTCTGACCGCAAATTCCATGGACCTATATTGCATCATTGTGACTTCTCTTTCAATCCTTTGTTTTATATTATCTGCATTGTAAGTCTTGTGGTCAGCTTCCTTTATTTTAGGCTTTACTTCTGAGCTATTTTCTTGAATATTTATCAAATCATTTTCAATTCTTTGTATTTTATTGTCCAGATTATAAATCTTATAATCAGCTTCCTTCATTTTAGACTCTAATTCTAAGTTGGTATCTTTATCCATCTTTATAACTATTTCTGAAAAGCTTTTCAAAGCTGTTACAATCTGTTGTTTCAGATTATCATACTTTCGTTGTACCAACTCTTTAATTTCCTGCCTGAATTTTTCAAGATTCTGGTTCACAATCTCATCATGTCTTGCCATCTCCTCCAAAACAAATTCCTTTAGGTCTTTAGAGCCATTCTTCTGAATCTGCAAGTTCAAAACTTGCTCATATGATTTGTAAATGGGGGACCCCCCCCCCACAGCTTGGTTGTCTGGCTTTGTCAGTTTTAACGCCATCCTGCCACACAAACAAACTCTTTTTAAGAAAAAAAACCTTTTCTCCAAACGATATCAATATCAAGTCTCTAAGAAGGAAGAAACATGAAATAGAGACTTTTCTCTTCAATTCTAGCCAGCGCTATTGTTTCAGATACTTTGTAACGTATTAAGCTATTCAAATGGAAGGACTTTCGCTTTCAGCTTTCTTCTTCTCAAGCCTCAGCCAGTCGCCATTTTAAAACTTTCTTTCTTCGCTTTTAAAATCACTCATAGGATTGTTAGAAATACTTGCAATTTAGGGTCCCAAATCCGGATTTCATCCTGTTTGTTCAGACAATCTGTTAGATTTCGTTGATTGGATTGGTCCCATCGCCTGGCTCTGCAAGAAGCAGAGTTCCCCCGATGCCCAGAGCAGCGGCGAGCTGAGTAGGGAGCCACATTCTGCTTCCTCCCCAAGAGTAAAAAAAAACTCTGGGGAGTTCGCAGAGGGCTTTACCTGTCCTCGCCGGCTCTATCTCACGTCTCCTCAAGGAGATGGAGTTTTTCGAGCCGTCTCTCAGCTGTAGAGACGGCTCTTTACGGGCGGCGAGGCTGGCGGTCCCGAAAGACCGTCTGGCGGCGGCGGAAACCAAACCGGAAGCCTCCTGATGTTGTTCTTCTATTTGGGTGCTTTTTACCATATGATTTAAATCAAGAGTCATTTCAGGTTCCCAGATAAATGAAGCTCTTTCGTCCCCCCGCTGTGGCTTCCTGCCAGCTGAACCCACCACTGGCTGGTCCCGCCCCGCTCCTTGCCCTCACCCTCCCAGTCACTCACCTGAGAAGGTAAGGGCGATGGCAGCGGATGGAGACTCGCTTCATATTACAGAACGGGAGCAAAGTGGCCTTGTACTTGCCCTTTCTTGCGGCCCTTGGTGCTGCACGCACCTTGGTCACTCGGGGAGATGCACGACTTTCTCTCCATCCCGAGACACTGGCTCAGCTGCGGCTGATGCCGGTGCTCTTGCTGCCTCCATGGTCTGCTCGCTGCTCTTGCAGTGCCTTGCAAACACACTTAAAATTTAGCACACTTCACAATGGAGGAGACTGCATCCCCTGCTCCTCCTGGAGCTGAGCATCGGCTGCAGCCAGTCTGGGCCAGTGTCTCAGGACAGAGAGAAAATTGTGCATCTCCCCGAGCGACCAGGGTGTGCGCAGCACCAAGAAGGGCCAGAAGAAGAGGCAAGTACAGGGCTGCTTCACTCCCATTCTGGAATATGGAGTGAGTCTCCATCCACCACCGTCGCCCTTCTCAGGCGAGGAGTGACTGAGAGGGGAGGGTGAGGGGCAGGGCCATCCAGTGGTGGGATCCGGTTCAGCAGGGAGCCACCGCAAAGGACCCAAAGAGCCACACGCGGCTCCAGAGCCACAGGTTGTCGACACCCGGTCTAATCATACTTGGCCAAATAAAGCATTCAATTCAAATTTCTGTGTATATGTCTTTTGTAGTAGTATGGAGTACACACAAGTTAAATATAATAGTACACACAGTTCAAATATAAAGAGCTCTCAAACTTCACAAAGATCACAAAGCTCAAACATCACATTGAAAAATTTGAAAGAATAGCTTTTATGTTTCCTTGCACTGGATTTCCAGCCAAGATCATTAGTCCTGAGTTTTATGTGAAAGTGATTCTTTTTTCTTTCCTTGCATTTGCAGCACCTAGGCATAAAGAAAGATAACATTATACAGGAAATAATGGAAGAAGAAATACCACCAGATGCTGTTCAAGATGAAACTCTTTATTGTCTCCCTAAGCTTGACAAGAATGCTTTTGTTGGATTATTTGTGGAGGACATTGTGTCACCTTCACAATTCCATGTCCGGATTTACGGTGGAGAAACTTCTGATGAGCTGGAAAATATTATGATTGAGATGAGGTTAAGATATATTTGGGCTGTTTATGAAAGTAGAGATATCTACTTTTGCACAAACTTTACTAAAATTGAAGGGAGTGAGAATTCACTTTGTTTTTTGTGTATGGATGCCTGTAATCCATAACTCAACTACTTGCAGTGCAACTGCTCTCAAGATCCATGCACATTTCAAAGTGTGAACTTTCAACATTTCATTTTATAATTGTCATGTTTGTTTGAAAAATTTTGAGGAAGAACCTAAACATTTTCATCATCTTTCAATAATTCAGATTTCCACAACTTGTTTGTATCATTCCCATAAGAAAAAAAATGGCAAATAAGATTAGATAAAAAACATTTTTGCAGGCTTGAAGAAAATAGAAAATAGTACTAGATAACCTAGCTTCCTACCGTGTTTCCCCAGAAATAAGACCCTGTCTTATATTTTTTTGAACCCTGAAATAAGCGCTTGGCCTTATTGCCATGTACTCAAAAGCCCAATTGGACTTATTATCAGGGAATGTCTTATTTTGGGATAAACGGTATTATGTATAAATCCATGCGTAAAATATATCATGATATGAGATATGGGGAGATTGTTTAAGATGGCCAGTTGGGAGTTCAAATATTGACACTCCAGCTGATTCCTATTCCTCATCTCAGTGTTCGTTCTGTGACTAGGAAAAAAATGTGCTCTACTATGGGAGCAGCAGAGTCACTCCTTAAATCCATCAGACAAGATGAATGAGCGGTGTAAAATAAGTGTATTCTTCAGGAAAGAGGAGGGAGTTCCTACCAGTGGGAATTTCAGCTTTTCTCCAAACAGGAGAGAAGTAGCCCATAGAAATGAAGGATGTCTTTGTTCTGATATTTCTAAACTGATCTCTTTAATTTTTTTAAAAAAAAATGAGATTGGTTTAAAATAGGATTTTAAAAACTGAATATTTTTTGTTAATCCAAATAATGCCTCAGAGACCAATTTTTGTTTTCAAGAATTCCCATGGAATTCAATCCAGCGCAGTTCAGTACTCATCCATGTTTATAATATTGTAGGAAGAAAGTTGTATTAGTGTATGGTAGCCAAAAAACAGGTGTCTGGTAGCACCTTTTCAGACTGCAGAGCTGTAGCTCATGTAAGGTACAAATTTAATAAATTTGTTAAACTGAAAAGGTAGTACCAGACCCAGATACATAGTAAGCTACAGTGGTGATACATTTGAATCTTCTCTTTCAGACGATGCTATTCTAGTAATTATGTAGCTAATCGTTACGTCATACCTGAAACCTTCATCCGTCCTGGCCAGCTTTGTTGTGTAAAGAATTCTAAAGATAAATGGTGGTACCGAGTTATCATTCATCGACTCCTTAATGACCAAGAAGTGGAAGTGTTTTACCCAGACTTTGGAAATATAACAGTAGCTCAAAAATCTTCACTGAGGTTACTCAAGTAAGTAAACTATCTTTAAAAATGTATAATGATACATAAAGTCTTTCATTCCCCATTATCACATGCTATAGTTTAGACTTAATGTTGATCGAGATTGGGACATTAATGTGGCAGTCATTGCACAGACTGACAAATTAAGGTCCTTATCATTGTTTTCTCCCTTTTGTGCCAAGATCAGATATACATCAACTTCTATACTGATCACATTTTCTGATTATCATTTTTTATGACCCCATAATTCCTTAATTTGGGGCAAAGTTAGGGCAACTAAATGGAGCTGAGCATTTACTGGCCAGTTGCCCTTCCTAATGCCTACATGGAGCTTGCAGCAGATACTTTCTCTTTTTACCCTGAAAGAGAAACATCTGCTACTACCTAGGATTGAACTCTCAACCTTCTGAGTGGGAGAGTGTCTTCACCACTAAACCACCATCCTACTCTCACTTTCTGATCATTATTATTATAGCTTATTAAGCTCAGAGCTATTGGAAGGCCAGGAAAAGCTAATCCTTTCTCCACCTCCTAAAAACCGTGTACAGGGTGGAGTGGAGTGTTGGTTTTGTTTTTTGTTTTTTTGAGGAAAAAACCCCCACATATGCTACAGGAATAGTTTTACAGGAAGTCCTCAACACATAGCCAGTTGCTTAGCCACTGTTCAAAGTTACGACAATGTAAAAAAAGGAAACATGACCTGGATTGGAAGTTCTGGCTTTAGGTCCCCTCTGCAATCATGTGAACAAACTTTGGACCCTCAACAATATTGCCGCATTTATGATAGTTTTGTGGCACATCTGACTTTTGGCAAAACTACATTCATCACAAACCATTGCTTCACTTAAGAACTGCAACATTTGCTTAATGACTGTGGCATTTGCTTTATAATCAAGGTATTAATTAAACAGCTCCCACAAAAGTGATAAAATCATTTTATGACCTTTACAAGATACTACCCTAATGGACAGACTCCAATATGATCATATGTCAAGAACTATTTGTAGTTTGGTTTGGATTTTAGCCTCCCATTTTGTTCTTGCTAGACTGATTAGTTAGCCATTAATCTGACCATGTTTAAGGTAAGATAGGTAAGTGATACAGATAGTGCTTGACTTATGACGATTGGTTTAACCATTATTCAAATTTATGATGGCACTGAAAAAAAGTATGACTGGTCCTCACACTTACGACCATTGCAATGTCCCTACAGGCACATGACCAAATTTTGGCACCTGGCAACCAGGATGTGTTTATGACCATTGCAGAATTCCAGGGTCATGTGATTGCCATTTACAACATTCCCAGATAGCTTCCAACAAGCAAAGTGAATGTGGGAAGCTGGATTTGCTTAATTACTGTGTAATTCACTTAACAACCATGTTGATTTGCTTCTCAACTGCACCAAAAAGGATGGTAAACTCAAGTTATGACTCACTTAATGGCTGCATCACATTGATCAAATGCAGCAGTCATAAATTGCAGATTACCTGTATTTACATGTTATGCAAGTGCGAATTTGGGCAACATGGTAAACTAAAATGAGATTCATTTTATCAGAATTGGGTAATAACAATAATACCCTCAAAACATAGTCTCCAGAAATGTTGCTACTTAGTTTGAGGATTGTATATTATTTTGGAATTTTGTGACATAATTGTAATACTTCTGAAAGTTATTTATATGGTTTTCTTTTGTTTTATTCAATAATAAAATGGTGTGTTCCTTGCCTTTGCAAACATCCAAGGACCATCGAGCTTGTGTTCCAACCCTGAAGAATTTTAATAATTTAGTTTTGCCACCCAGTTAAAAGTTTAAAATATTTATTTGTGTTAAAGTGTGTTTCAATCTGAAAATAAGATCAAAGATTAGAAAAGGCTGTACTCATACACTCTAATGTCATTTTTACTTTGTGGATTCTGCCCCATAGTTTGCCAGAACATCTAAACATGGTAAACTATTATATGCTATTAAAGCAAAAGAATATTAGAGATGACCAATACTGTAATTCATTAATACAGATAAAACAGCAGGTATGGACACAATCCCTGTCCAGATTCACATTTGATGCTAATCCTAATGTGGCTTGTTTGTTTTGGCTTTGCATGCTCTGAAAACAGAAGCAAATGAAGTGTGGTTCGTTTCAGAGTAGTGAACATCAGGTGGAAACCAGGTTTATTTGTCAATTGCATCTATTAATTAGTGTGATATGTGAATGTAAAGGAATGTGATGGTTTTCTGAACTGTTTGTATTTCAGCTTTTCCCAGCATCTAACCAGTTCACAGAGGTGCAAGGCAATATAAACATTTTTTTAAAAAGGAAGAAAACAAAACATTTGCTTTACAAGTTTTGATTGTTTTGCCAACCTGTTAAGCTGTGCTCTGAATCTTTCAACAGAGTATGCTGTAATGTGTGTATGTGATGTGTGTATGTAGTCAGTAGTGTATGCATAAAGGCATAACAGTTCGCGAAATATGATTTATTGCTTAAGGTGTTATATGAATCAAAAGCATATAAAGGGATTGGAGAACAACATCAAATCATATTTTGTTGATAAATCTGAATTAGCCTATTATGATATTCTTCCAACAGACATTGCTATGCAAAACTTCCTGCCCAAGTTATCCCTGGCTGTTTAGCCTGGGTGAAGCCAAGCAAGGTATGTAATTTCCTATTTGTTTGGTTCTCCTCTGGAGAATTGGTTGGAGATAACTGAAGAGATAATCACAATTTTTTGAGACCCTCAAAATGACGAAACTCCTGAATGAGTCAACCCAGGAAATGGTTAAAGCACAAGTTATATAAAAGTAATGGTGAGGTTTGTCAGATCATATATTAGAATGCATGATTATCAAATGCTGTAAGATTTATGTTGTTTTCTCCATTATATCTAGCACAGATTGTTCCAATGATTTGGAATTTATTATCTAGATATATTTCATCTAGTACATTGTATTGTATATGTACGTGTGTGTATGTATATATATGTATATATGCAGTGTGATCACTCAGCGGTTAAGACGCAGCAGCCCAGGTTTGAGATCCAGGTGCCACGCGTGGGGTGAGCTCCATCCTCACTCCAGCTCCTGTCAACCTAGCAGTTTGAAAGCATGTAAATGCGAATAGATAAGTACGTACCACTACGATGGGAAAGTAATAGCGCTCTGTGACTTCATGCTGGCCCTATGACCATGGAAATGTCTTGGACAGCATTGGCTCAATGGCCTTGAAATGGAGATGAACATTGCCTCCTATAGTCAGCAACAACTAGCAGAGTAAAATCTGCACTCTTTTTATATATTTATATAGCGGTGATTGCATGACTTCTGTAGATGCCATACACTAAATAAAAATAATCTGTTGTATGCAAACCTATGTTGTAGCCCTTGAAATTTGCTGTAACAAGCTTGATGTCAAATCGAGAATTGACCTGTATACGTCACATAGTTTGATTGCCTCCTGGAATATGTTAACGTACCAAAGTATTCAAGACAGCATCTTATCTTTTTCTGGGGATCTGTTTCAGTTTAGGCGAATTTAGGCGCAGTAGTAAATACATACCGTACTTGCATCTTGAAGCATGTTCATCTATTCCTGAAAAGGCCTCCCCTGAATCCAGAGGTCTGTGCCTTATTTAGCAAAAAGGAAGATGACACTGAGCTTAAGAACCCCTCTTGAGAAAAACAAAAGGAAAGAAAATGATACATTAAAAAGTACTATGCAGTGCCTACTTTGCCCACTGTATCAACTCACACTTGCCAAGTTAAATTAACTGGGAGATTTCTACCTTGTTCTGTCAATGAATGACATATATGTGTATGTATATCAGAAGTCACATTTCAAAATGGGCAGAGTCAGGATAAAACTTTTGAGTAAATAAAAATAAAAAGTATTTGATTCCACATCTGCCTGTATCAGCAATTCTGCCTCACATGTGTATGTTCTCAGCATAAAAATAGAAAATGACTAAAACTAGATGGAGCTGGGCTAACTGCATTGATTAAGGGGTAAGAATTGGGTTGATATTAAGTGAGGGGAGGAGTCAAGGACGGAACAACAGCAAGGAAGTACTAGGTAAGATTCTGGAGTAATTTCATGTAGTTGTAATGTGTATTGATTAAATTTTTTGCTTATTTTGTATTTCAGTGTCTGGATTTTTTAAAGATTTAAACTTATAAACAGTTGAAACGGGGGTTCAAAGAAAAAATAAGTTGCAACATTGGGAAAGAATAAGGTTTGTCTTGCTTACAGAGCAATGTTAGCATCAGAACTTAAATATTGGAACTGTTGAAAAATTCAGGGAATGAATAAATCAATGAAAATTTAAAAGCAGGTGAAGAGAAGAAAAGTTAGATGATTCATTAAGTAGGGAAGAAATTAAATTTAAAACTGGTATTTTTAAAAGAGACTGGCAAAAAATCACATATATTTTCCTCCCAGTCCCCTTCCCCGGGATTGAAGGCAACATACATAGCACAATATTCTTTTCTCCAAATTTTCCCAAAATAACAGGCTGAAAACTAGAGATTATTCCGAAGCCTTCCATGACTATGAGACTTGAACTTGTGCTTTTCTGATTCTAAATTTAAACTTTGTGTTTATTTTATATTTTGCTTTATCCTCTCTTTTTTTTCCTGCATAAAGGGTGATTGGTCTGTCAGTGCTATAAAGGAATTCCGAAGACTGTGTGAGCTGAAATTGCTGGTGGGACTGGTAGATGAATATATAAATGATGTCCTTTACCTCTTCCTTTGTGATACCAGTTCCGATGATGACGTCTACTTGCACAATGTTTTGAAATTAGAGGGTCATGCACTCATTTGTAGGGAAAACATTCCTTCCAAGGTAAAAGGAAGACAAGTTATGATGGGGCAGGGCTACAGTGCTGAATTAGTAATTGACAAGTAATTCCCAGACTAGCTTGAACTGGACTGAAAAGAAAAAAAATGAAACAAGATCATAAGGGGAACTGACATTGTGTCAAAGAAATCCATATTGGAAATGGGAGTTTATTTTTTACAATTGCTAAAGCAATATAATCATACCAAAAAAAGTATAACATGGATCAATTACTGTATCTCTCTACTTTAAAAAAGTTTTTTTATTATTATTATTTTATTATTTATTTAATTTATATACCGTCCTACTCCCGAAGGACTCAGGGTGGTGAACAGCCAAACAGTAAAAACACATAGATACAAAATTTAAAAACAAAGTAAAATCGAATTAAACAAATTTGGCCCAAGGCATATTAAAACCCCAATCATTTAAAAACCAATTTAAAATTTGCGTAATTAAAAAGGGGGGAAAAATTAGGCCAGGCCCGTCTGGTGGAATAAAAAGGTCTTAAGAGCGCAGCGGAAGGTGCACAGATCCGGGATCCTCCATATCTTCGGGGGGAGCTCGTTCCAGATAGTAGGTGCCCCCACAGAGAAGGCTCTCCCCCTAGGGGCCGCCAGTCGACATTGTTTGGCCAACGGCACCCGGAGGAGCCCCTCTCTATGAGACCGTACCGGCTGGTGGGAGGCTATTGATGGTAGTAGGCGGTCCCATAAATAACCAGGTCCTAAGCCATGGAGGCTCTAAAGGTGGTAACCAAAACCTTGAAGCGCACCCGGAAGACCACCGGGAGCCAGTGCAGCTCGCGCAGGAGAGGTGTTACATGGGAACGCCATGTCGTTCTCATTACCACCCGCGCAGCCGCACTCTGCGCCAGCTGGAGCCTCCGGGTGCTCCTCAAGGGGAGCCCCATGTAGAGAGCGTTGCAATAGTCCAGGTGGGAGGTGACGAGGGCATGAGTGACCGTGCATAGGGAGTCCCGATCCAGAAAGGGATGCAACTGGCGAATCAGGCGAACCTGATGAAAAATCCTCCCGGTCACAGCTGTCAAATGCTCTTCTAAAGACAGCCGTGAATCCAGGAGGACGCCCAAGTTGCGAACCCTCTCCGTGGGGGGCCAATGATTCGCCCCCAATAGTCAGTGATGGCACCAACTGATTATATCAGGATGTCGGAAACCACAGCCACTCGGTCTTGGATGGGTTGAGCCTGAGCCTATTCCTCGCCATCCAGATCCACACAGCCTCCAGGCACCAGGACATCACTTCAAGGGCATCTGAGTAATCTGGATATAAAGAAATAGGTTCCATAAAATTACCTTTAAAACAGCCTAATTTTCTAATCAAAGTACAAATCAAAAATCAGTAATAGGAAAGCAAGCCTATTGATGGATTGGCATCATACCTAATTAACAAATTAGTGTTCTGTTTGTAACTCTACCTTCAGGTACAGGAAACATCATATAAATAGAAGTGCAGTCCTCAAACTGAGCTGTATGAAAATAGCAAATGAAAAAAAGTAATGTTTCATCCTGTCGACCTTGTGTGTTAAACCAGATAAAAATCACAACCAGATAAGCTAATTCTATTTTATTGTAGCTACCTTGCAAGTCTGAAAATGCAGTCCTCCTCTCCCCCATTTCTTTTCCAGCTGAAGAAACAGCAGAGGATCTCTCCTGAGCCTCTTGCCCCAGCTACTATAGTTTTGGGCTACACTATTTCTTATATGACCATCCGCTGGCAGCCTCTCTTTGCCCAAGGTCTTTCCCACATACCATTAACCACTCTGGGTTACAGCTTGTTTCTAAGGTCAGACTGGAAGCTATTAAATATTTCTTTATTTTTACTTTAACAGGGCTTCGAAGAGTTAAATCCTTTTACGCTATATATGAAACCAAACCAAAACCAGCATGCTGATTTCACAGAAGCAGACACTTCATTGCTTCAGCAGGACTTTCTTGTAAACTTCCCAGGAACAAATCCAGAGACTTGCAATAATGAAGTAGTTTCACAGGTGGGAAAGATTTGCTGATTATTGCTCCTCTCTGTTCCTGTAAAATCCCCAGAAGACAGAAAGGGTTAGTTTTTCTTTTAAAATTAGCATCTAGTAACTATGGTTGTATGGTTAGGTGAATCCCAAAAATATTACATTGAGCAGGGTGGATGCTCTAAAGTCAAAAGCAAACAATTTTTCTTGGTGCCTTGCATTGTGTACTGCAGCGCTTGACAAATGCTTAGCATCCATCTGACTTCCTTCGCAATCTGTCTTCATATTTTTAAATTAAAAGGAGTGTTTGCATGATGCAAAGCAGAGCACCAGCCTCCAACATTACCTCTGTTCCCAAAAGTTATTCTGGACCCAACCTGAAAATGAAAATGATGGGTAGCCGCAATCCAGTGTTTCGTTTAGATGTACATTCACTTACCTAGAAACCCCCCCCCCCCAAAAAAAGTAGTATGGTAGTGAACAATCTAGGGAGGTAATGAAAGAGTATCCTTCTAGTTTACTTTCTAGTAAATGGGTGTTTTGTGGCTGCCCAAACCAACTGTAGCACTCATTTGCAGATGGGAAAGCCCTCCCCACAGCAGGAGACTGCACTGTCCTTCAGACAGTATTCCAATGCCCCTTCTACTGTCTGGTATACTTGCAATATTTTACACCCACATAATTTCCTGGATAAGTAGATTCTATCAACATCACTGCATGGATGAAGGGTATGATTCATTGTCATTATTTTACTGGTCTTCCTGTCCATAGCTTTCAATATTATTATTATTCATACTACTGCTAAGGGAATGAGATAATCATTCATAAATATTTCCTCATACTGTTTAAAATATTTCTGTGGCAATCAAATGTTAATGCCTCTACTGATACATTTTTCAGTGTTTTTCCTTTTAAAACAATGAATGAAATTACGTAATCAGATATGTCAGTGGGATTAGGAAATGAAGCATACATAAAGAAGTCTTTAAAATAAGATAGTTTCAACTATTTAGCGTTTTCTATTTGTGTACTGAAAAGGTAATAAATAGAAAAGTACATGAGTAAAATATTGCAAAGTGATCAAAGCTGAACATGAATATATGGGAGTATTTATTCAGTTGCAACTTTAAAGATTTTTCATAAATCTCCTTTTTCAGTTCCTTTGTAACTTCAAGTGATTGCTGAACAAGCAGTTGGTAAGCAAGGACTACTTGTACGGTGTAGGAATTGAACAAAATGGCTAAAAGTGTGATTGGATTACTTTTAATAAATGGAATTTTGTGCAGGATTTTCCAATGAACAAATTCTCTAAAATACTGTATTTGAAATTAAATATATAATTAAAATGACAGTATTGTAAACATTTTCTAGCACACAGCAAGCCAATTCTCAGATCCTGAACTACCATACCTGGAGCCAGTGTATTTATGCCAAGAAATTTGGGATGAGAACTGGTTGCCTTCACCATATGAAAAAAAGAAAAATGAGGATGCTTCTGATAATTTACATACTGATATTATGGTAGTTTCTCACCAGACTTCAGGTCATGAAGGCAACAAAAATAAGATCCAACACAACCAAAGTGTGATTCAAAAGGTAGATTTTGTTACTGGTTTTTCGTGTTACTAATCCAAAGGTTCAATTGAGATGCAGTGCTTTCTTACCCCAAAGATTCAGAGTTTGTAGTATATAGATTTTTTTTAAAAAAAGAAAACCATAATCTTATCTGTATGCATAAACTTTAAATTGGTGAAAATAGATTGTAACTAAAAAATTAAAATACAAAAATAGTAAAATAAGGAAACTGCACAGCAGTAAAAACAGACTGGGAAATCATTACAAGCCAGCAAGCATACCACATGGAGTAGAATACCAAAATATTTTGGAAAACTTAAGGCAATGATAAATGCTTTAAAATGCTTTCAGTTTGTACTTGGGAATAGTACATGTATTCCCTGACATACAACCGTAATTGAGCCCAAGATTACTGTCATAATTTGTACCAGTCACTAAGCTAGTCATCATGTAATCAACCTGATTTTATAACTTTTTTTGTGGCCGTCATTAAACTCTGGTCATAAAGTGAACATTAAGCGAACCAATTGTCTACAAAGTAAATGCAGGTTTCTGGCAAGCAAAAATTCTTTGTTAATTGTGGTTATATGACTGTGGGAAGCAGCAAAGAGCCATAAATGCAGGCCCTCTATTGAGTGCCCAAAATGCGATCATATAACTAGCTGGGTTGCCCATCTCTCAGAACTTTGAATCTGGTTCATTAGTATCTTTTGGTGGGGAGGGGAATGTCCGCCATAACTTCAAATAGTCACTAAGCAACTAATTGTAAGTAAAGATCTACCTGTATTTCATAATATGAATGCCGCTATTAAAAAAACCTTAATGTCCTAAAAGCTCTGCTCAAACAACAGATGCTAAGGTCTTGCAGAGCAGTATAAGAGCTTGGTAAGAAGCAGATATTTAGCTACATTGTCCAAACCTTATTTCCCAGATTGGATAGGACACAGATACGAATGCTTTCACATAATATCAGAACTTTAATGCTGCTACAATCCTGCTGATTTGGTAGCCGGTTTTGGCTTCATCCAAAATATCAAATTCATTTTTTAAGGGCACTTCAGCAGTTAGCAGTGCCTATCTGATTATATCTGGGATTAGAAGTTGGGCAGGGTCAGGCCTGGCGAATACCTAGACTGGGTTTAAGCTAGGGTTGTTTGGGATGTCAGAATCATATAAGAAGAAAACAAAGGCAAACTATTTCTACTATTGTGTTGACAAGAAGACAGCACATGAAGCCCCCAGAAATCGTTCTGGACTTGAAGGAGACATTGCTTACCTTCAAAGTCAGCCCCATGTTGAATCCTATAATCAAGATTTGGAGGCTATGGAGAAATTGATCTGACTTCTCCAGGCAGGAGTACTGTTGAGAACATAGCAGTGTGTGACAGACTGTGACACATTGCTGCTACCATAGTACTTTGAGTCCCAGGCAGTTCCGTATATAAATTGCTTTCCTCTGTTCTTTCCTCACCATTCTGGTCCTTTGGTCATCATTTTAAAGGTTGGATCTCCCTCTAAGACTTAAGGGGTGGAGGGAGGTCATTTTCTGCTTGGAATAAATGTCCTTCTTTTTTGGCAGACCAGGGATGTGTCCAGTGCCATTGAGACAGCAGATGATCCAAGTCTGGAACATCCAAGTGAAATTCTGAGCTCGATGGCAGAAACAAAGGTAATTTGATTTGTACTGTTTCTCTTTAGGAGAAATGTTTTTATTAGGCTGGACACTTGTATGTTCTATAGGAACTCCAAAAGAAGAAAATATATATTAGCTGAACTGGGTTGAACTGTGAAGTCCTTGGTGCTCTCTGAGCTTGCTTGTTTGCCTGCAGCCATTTAATTACACAACTAGGTAATTATACTCCACAAAAGTATTGTTAGACTTTTCAGATCTTCGCCATATTTGCCATTCCAAATTTATGTGACCATCACCCAGCAGTGAAATCCAGCTGGATCTTTCAGGCTCACACGAGCTGGTAGGGCCGGCAGCGGGAGGCTCTGCCCACCCACCGAGACATCATTATGTCCCATTTTTGACCCTCTGCACATGCGCAGAAGAGGCGTGTGAGCTCACATTTCCGATCCGCTGCCATCACCTATGCCATATGAAACCTTTGCTTCAGGTGTTTTCTTTTAATTGTATCAATGTCAGTCAAATGGATATCCTGTGTTTTAAAGCAGGTTTCTTTTTTTCACTTGACTGCAGACAGAATCCTCTGTTGGAGATATACCTGATTCTTTGTCACAAACATTAGAAGAGTTTTATGTTTCCATTGTTCATTCCGAGAAACCAAGAAAGCTGAGTCAAAATGAATCAGATGTAAATAAATCGTCTGCTTGCCATTCCCAACTTCCTCCATCAACATCTGTGTTGCATGGTATATTTATGGATTTATCTTCTAATGATGCTAACTTTGCTATTACTATAGTATTATTAAATTTGTTGCCAAAGTATCATACCCCTTTAAAATGGATTTGTAGCTGAGCTGATACTACAAAATCAGATTCAGTAGAGATTACAAAATGATCAACTTTTGAAGCATAATCTCTGTTGAATCCTAGAACTAAATTCTGAGATATCAGGAATGGTGGCTAATCAGAATAGTATGGAACATACTGATTCTGAAAGGGTTAACATGTAAAGTGAAAATATGAGGGAGCTAGGGTGGGAAAATAGGGAAATACTGGATACTGGTTTACACAGCAGATTCTATTCATCTTCATGTTTCAAATAAGAAACTATCATGCAGTCTAGACAGAGGTTTCCTTTAGGGACATGAAAACAGCTTTCTCTACTCAACACTTCCTGTTCATGATGAAAATTGGGTTTTGTTGAGTAATTTTATATGACTTCATGTTTGTTTAATCAAAAGTGGAATTAGAATGGTTTAAGGAGAAGATGTGGGAAAGCAGAATCTACACTTACATTGTAGAAATGTGAACTAGTTAAAGTGAGATTGGTCAGGGCAAAACAACTGGATGGATCTAAGCCCTATAACAAATAACTTCTGACCACTCTTTCTTCTCTTTACTATGTAGGAAGACCTGCTTCAGAGAATATGGTTAATGATGCTTCTAGAACTCAAACAGTTTCTGTATATAATGCTAATCGTTACTTTGAACCTTGGGCCCTTGGTCACAATGCTTTGGTCTTTACTGCTGAGCTTCAGGGCTCTCCAAAATTCTGTATTCCATGCAGTCCAACTGTTGCCTTGGGAGCATCTGCACGACTAGCTGTCTCTGGTGGATATTTCCCCCTTACCTTTAGGAAGATGAAGATATCACAAAAGTCAGTATGAAATATTTCCAAAAGACTTCAATGTTCATCTAGTTAACTGGACAATAGCTTTAAAAAAATCTTGTAATTTGAGCCTATGGGAAATTATAATTTAAAGCCCAACTGAAATTTGGACAATTTATGCCATGATTTTTCCCCATGTTTCTGTTGTATATTACTTGCTTTTCTTGTTGTATATTACTGTTAACATTTCTACTCTTAATATAATAGTTTTGAAAATAATCAATGAACTGTCTTATTTAAGTTGTATGCATATTTTTGTAGGCTGGCAGAGTCAGTGAGTGTTGAGGACAGCATATACAACAGTGTCAAACCACAGCTGGCCAATTCTTTAGCTGGTATTGGTCTTCATACACATTTGAGTTCTTGCCAACCTAGGATATTGTAATGTATCAGTGTAATGTGTGCAGATATGAACAGTGTGGGACCAGCCTTAGTAATAACCAAGCAGAGTAATTTGGGTTTTTTTAAAAAGTGTATGCAGTTTTCTGGGAAACAGCTTAAATTAATATGGATGCTACATTTGGTCTTCTCAGCATTTCTAATGACTCACATTAAAATATTCAGTCTCAATATTTTCCTGCATATGTGCAATGTGAATGTGAGTGAGTTAGAATCAGAATTAGAATAGAGTAGAGCTGGAAGGAACCTTGAAGGTCTTTTAGTCCAGCCCCCTGCTCAAGCAGAAGAACCTATACCATTTCAGACAAGTGACTGTCCAGTCTCTAAACTTCCTGTGATGGTGTGCCCACATTTTCTGAAGGCAAGCTGTTTCACTGGTTAATTGTCTTCACTGTTAAGAAGTATCTCCTTAATTCCAGGTTGCTTCTCTCTTTGATTAGTTTCCAACCATTGTTTCTTTTCCTGTTCTCTGGTGCTTTGACGAATAATTTGACCTCTTCTTCTTTGTGACAGCCCCTCAAATATTGGAATACTGCTATCATGTCATCCCTAATTCTTCTTTTCTCTAGACTAGCCAAACCCAAATCCTGCAGCCATTCTTTATATGTTTTTGTTTCCAGGCCTTTGATCATTTTAGTTGCTCATCTCTGAACTTTTTCCAAAGTCCTAACTTTTTTTTGTAGTATGGTGACCAGAATTGGTTGCAGTATTCCAGGTGTGGTCTTACTAGGGCTTTATAAAGCAGTACTAATGCTTCAGGTGATCTTGATTCTATCCCTCTGTTTATACAACCCAGGATCGTATTAGCTTTTTTGGCTTCTGCTGCACACTGCTGGCTCATATTCAATTCATATCCACTAGGACTCCAAGGTCCCTCTCACAGTTACTGTTTTTGAGCCAGGTCTCACCTAATCTGTACTTACTGTATGCTATTGTAAACTTTGCTTTTCTCCACATTAAAATTCATTTTGTTGGATAGGGCCCATTGTTCAAGACTGTCAAGATCTTTTTGGATCCTGAGTTTGTCTTCTGCAGTGTTGGCTATTCCTGCCAGTTTAGTGTTATCTGCAAATTCGATGAGTTTCCCTTCTATTCCCTCATCTCAATCATTTGTGAAGATATTGAAGAGTACTGGGCCTAAGACGGAGCCTTGTGGTACCTCAATGCTGACTTCTCTTCATGTGGATGTAGTACCATTAAAGACTACTTGTTGAGTACAGTTTGTCAGCCAGCTGTAAATCCATCTGGTGGTGATGTTGTCTATTCCTCATTTTTCTAGCTTACCAAGAAGTAGGTTGTAGTCTACTTTGAAATCTAAGTATACTATGTTCACAGCATTTAGCTGGCCTACTAATTTAGTGACTTTATCAAAGAATGAAACAAGATTGGTTTGGCATGATCTGTTTTTAACAAACTCATGCTGGCTACTAGTTATAATAAATAAATAAAGTTATAACTTTATTTGCTCCTACGGTAGTTATTTGCAGATCTTTTTTTAATTATCTTTTCCAGGATCTTCCCAGATGTTGATGTTAGACTGATTGGTCTGTAGTTTCCTGGGTCTGTTTTTTCCTTTCTTGAAGATGGGAACCACATTAGCCCTTTTCCAGTCCTCAGGTACTTCCCGGGTGTTCCAGGATTTTTGAAAGATATGGTACAATGATTCTGAGATAACATTTGCCAGCTCCTTCAGAACTCTGGGGTGTATTGTGTCAGATACCGGTGATTTATATTCATCAAGGTTCTCTTATCATTTTCTTACTTACTGTATTTTCCAGTGTATAAGACAACTGGGCGTATAAGACGACCCCCTATTTTTCCTGTTAAAATATAGGGTTTGGGCTATACTCGCCGTATAAGACTACCCCTCTTCCAACGCACACCAAATAAAAATTAAAAAACATCAGATTTGATTTCAATATGGTAATTTTAATTCAAATGGTTATGACATGCAGGTACTTAGCAGGAAAACTGTCACTTATAAACATAAGGCTGTTTGTCATCAAACATGTAAACATAAAACAGTGCAATTGGATTAAACTTTTCCTAATTCACTCTAAAGCTGAAAGGAAGGATAACACAATAAACCCATGGGAGCTGCCATGCTGTTTGTTTTCTAAGCTGTCAACCAAACTGGAACTGATGATGATAGGAGGAAGATAACGAACAATAGAGAGCCAGTGCCGGGCAAGTCCCTGGCGAGTCAGCAATGCCCATCATAACTGCAAGCTATGCAGTCATGCCTGCATAGCTGTCACGCCAGGTTTTGCTGGCGTGACAGCCTTAAAAGCCTTCAAAATCCTCCTGTTCGTCATCTGATATCATAACTACATCAATGACATCTTGTGATACATTTGTAAGGCAGTCATCATATCAATCTAATTCCGTATCAGATGGTGTGGTCTCAGCTTCGGCTTCCTCTTCATCTTGCCACAAGTAGTCGTCCTCCATACCATCTAATGAATTTGATATGCCACACTTCTTGAAAGACTTGATTACTGTTTCTGCATCAATATCATTCCAGGCTTTTATGACAAACTTGCACAAAACATCCAACTGGAGCACGCATGTTTCCTCCTTTTGTGAATGACTTTTCACCGCTAACCATCCACTCATTCCACTGTTCTCGAATGCGATCTTTAAATGGCTTGTTTAAGCACACATCCACTTGCTGTACCAACGATGTCAATCCTGCAGGAATAACTGCCTCATCTGTGTTTATTCTTGCAAGCCTTTGCTTGGTGCTGGGAGTTAAATGAGCCCTGAACATATCCCACACCAGTAGACTACGTTTTGAATAAGTCCACCTGGTTGCCTGCTCCATACATTATCAAGCCATAGCTTTACCCCTTCTTCATCCATCCAGCCTTTTTCATTCACATGTACAAAACAACCAACAGGGAACTTGAGTTTCAGCATTGTTTTTCTTTTAAAAATAATCATTGGTCTCAGTTTGGAGCCATCAGCTGTGCATGCTAGTACCACTGTAAAACTGGACTTCTCATGTCCTGTTGTTTTAATTAAAATTGATTTTTCACCTTTTGGATGGACAGTTTTATTTCCAATCATATCAAAATTCATTGGAGTTTCATCCATATTTCCGATACTACTTAACGCATAGCCATGTTTATTGCGCTGTTGTATTACGTATCGATGGAAATTATTTACTTTGGCATCAAGATCTGCAGGTAATTTTTGTGCAATTTTTGTCTTTTGCCTCAGTACCAAATTATGCCTTTCCAAGAATCTAGTACACCAGGATACAGTGGCCTTAAATCTGTTGCTGTGATCTGGGTTAGATTTGGCCCACTGAAGTGCAAACAAACATATTTTATTTCATGTCACTACATAACCGTTTTGGCGATGCTCATTCACCATGTCTGCTACATGTTTTTCGAGTTCTGGCCAATGTGGGGTGCCTCTTCTTAATGCACACTTACCCCTTGGCATACTCTTTAATGCTTTTACATTTGCTTTCCAGTCCTGAACCATCTTTTCTGTTACTCCATATTGTCTTGCAGCAGCACAGTTATTATGTTCCATGGCAAAATTTACAACTTTAAGTTTAAAACTGGCTTCATATTTCTTTCTTCTTGCTGGTGGAGCCATGATGGGGTCTTGACTGTTAGCTATTTGTATACTGTACTGTATGTACTGTTGCTGTACTGTATGTACTGTTGCTGTACTGTAGAGATACCTATGAGCCAGGCTGCACATCTGCCTGTCAAGGTAATGGGCTACGCTATGTGTAGTGGCAAGAGGGCTATTTTGTACCAGGTTTTTTTCCTGTCACCCATGTCCTGTCACCCATGCAGCCTTGACGAGATCGGCACAGCTTCATGAATCTGAGTTGCTGGCGCTGACCGATGACGCTACGGGAGCACCGACAACATTGACAGGAAGCTGTGCCGATCTCGTCAAGGCTGCATGCCGCTCAATGCTGGACCCAGCTGGTTGCTGCGCGGAGCTTCCCCCACCGTCCCAGGCATCCAGGTGGGTATTACCCACGCTCTGACTTCCCCAGACCCCCAGTGATGGCGAGCCCCAGCTGGGACTGGGGGAAGCTCCGCGCAGCAACCAGCTGGGTCCAACATTGAGCGGCATGCAGCCTTGACGAGATTGGCACAGCTTCTCGAATCTGAGTTGCCGGTGCTGACCGATGACGCTACGGGAGTGCCGACAACATTAAGGGGAAGCTGTGCCGATCTCGTCAAGGCTGCATGCCGCTGAATGCTGGACCCAGCTGGTTGCTGAGTGGAGCTTCCCCCAGGCATCCAGGTGGATATTACCGACGCTCCGACTTCCCCAGCTGACCCCCAGTGATGGCGAGCCCCACCTGTCTGGGGAAGTCGGAGCGTCAGTAATATCCACCTGGATGCCTGGGATGGCGGGGGAAGCTCCGCGTAGCAACCAGCTGGGTCCAGCATTCAGCGGCATGCAGCCTTGACGAGATCGGCACAGCTTCCCCTCAATGTTGTCGGCGCTCCTGTAGTGTCATCGGTCAGCGCCAGCAACTCAGATTTGGGTACCCGGCGTATAAGACGACCCCCGACTTTTGAGATGATTTTCCTGTGTTAAAAAGTTGTTTT